TAATAAAAGTCACTCAAAGGCAATTGCATTTACTTTGGTTATTGGTTTGTTTGGGACATGATCTGGCTACATAGCAAGCTTCTGTTGGCTTGAACTCAAAATCCTCCTGCCTTAGCTTCCTGAGTGTTGTGACTGCAGGTATGATGACCACACTTGGCTTGCTTGCCTTTTTTCCCTTTCTCTCCCCACCCCACTGCTGTTACTGCTACTCGGTAACCTAAACTGGCTATCCTTCAGCCGCGGTCTTCCGAGTGTAGAAACTACAGATGTGTACTATCACACTTCAGTTCCATTAATTAATTGCTCACATATTTAGAGTTATGACTATGTAACCATATGTATTTGGGAGATTTTTTTTTTGCCAGGGTGTGATGAACTGTTATGGTGTTAGTATATTTTTTTTATAAATAGATAAAAAGAAATACCACTCTGCATGAAAATTATTATTCTTGATGAAGATAATTCTTTTGGTAAATACTGATATTAAGAATCAAATGTGGCCAGGCAGTGGTGATGCATGCCTTTACTTCCAGCACTTAGGAGGCAGAGGCAGGCGGATCTCTGTGAGTTTGAGGCCAACCAAGCCTGGTCTACAAGAGCTAGTTCCAGGACAGGCTCCAAAGCGAAACTGTGTCTCAAAAAAGAACAAAAAAACAAAGAAAAAGAATTAAATGTGACTAATGTCAGAACTTAGGCTGAGTTAGGAGGATAGCTGTGAGTTTCATGCCATCATGGGCTAAATGCACCCTGTGTAAGAGAAACAAGAAATAAAAATAAATAAAATTTAGCAATAACCATGGGAAGCAAATAAAATGAAGTTTTTTGTTGGGGTGTGAACAGGCTCTTGACACGCACATTGAAATATAGAATGAGCTGTTACTGGTGTGCCAGCTAGAAGAATGTAAGTTTACATAATCCTGTTCCATACAGATTAAGCAAGCAGGCTCTCGTGAGAACAGGGTAAATCAGGAAGCCTTCTTCTGTAAACATTTCAAATCCCAGCTACTAGGCATTTTGCTTCTGTTTGCCACACGTGGGTAAGTTGCTGCATGCTGACATGGCTATATTTGATAGTCACTAATTTGGCTGTTCTTTAAATTTTTTTACCTGCATATTTCCTTAAAGTTTTAGTTTGCAGAACCTTTCAGTGGTTGGCATTTATGGCTCCCTTTTGTAGGGTCTCATGGAAAAAAGAAGCAAGAACTGAGATTTTTAGTTGATTAGTTTAAATCTAGCCAGTCTATTCCAAAAGGCATTTATTTTTACTTTTTATCTTTGAGAAAACTCCTTATTCAGAGCCTAAATCCAAAATTTAAAAAAGAGGCCAGCTAAAGGTGGGTTTAAAGTGTGAACCTCCCTTGCTTGCCCTTTTTACCTCCATCTTTCTTTACTATGGTTACATCTCTACTTTATGTCCATATATGGCCCCATAAGGGAATTTGAGTTCTAGTCAGTCTCACATTCCTCTTTTGTAGGTGAAGAATGTCAGAATTAGTGCTTTTTGCTCACCCTGTATCATAACTAGGCAGCAGTCCCTGACCGGACTTTAGCATAGCTGTCATTACTAAGTCCTTTCCATTGTGTTGTAGAGGTTGGCTGCTCATTTTATGTATTATTAGCACTATGTAGTTTTCAAAGGTTTCTAAGTATATTCTAATTTGATTTTCACTCTGAACTGGAAGGGTGTAGAGTACTGTAATAACTCTTAAAAGTTTTATTGAGCACATACCCCAAATGCTGGGAATAAGGGTATTTTATATTCATGAGTTTATACCTTATTCATTTTTTAATTTAATTTTTTGATGCCCTTATTGATAGCTTTTCTGTGTTAGTGTCGCAGGATACAGAGATAAAATAGTCTACAACTATTTTAGTTTGTATATTAAGTTTTAGGAACTTTTGCACTTTACCCAAGATCATCACACACTGTGGAATTAGCTTGGAAACCCCAATCTGCAAGAGTTTCACCTGAAAACAAGGTGGTTTTCATTTACAAGTCTAACTTGATAATTGATGACTTGTCAGTGTAGGGCATTCTTCTTTATGGATAGGCATAGCAAAGAGAACATGCCGTAACTCAGAATGTTGCTTGGAACAGAGGGTAAAAACAACCTTTTTTTTTTTTTTGAGGACTATTATATTAGGTTATTACTATCCTGATCTATTGTTCTCCTCTCTTTAGAGAGTCTTATTTGCTTAAAAAAGCCAGTTTTTTTGAGTGGAGAAGCTTTCTATAGATAAACATGCAGAGACATTGATAAACAACTTATTTGATCTTTACAGATTAGCAGAAATTTATGCTTTTATATCATGACACATTATAACTTATAAGAATATATTTCCTTAGCATCTTCCTTGTTTAAGAACATCTTACCAATCCTGTAAGTGATTTGTAGTTAATTCCCATCTACTATGTGGTTCTAGTTGGTCTCAAATGTGGTCCAATTGCCAGTTTTGTCTGTACCCATCTTAGGAGAAATTTTTTTTTTGATTTTTTTTTTTTTGATTTTTCGAGACAGGGTTTCTCCATAGTTCTTTTTTGGTTCCTGTCCTGGAACTAGCTCTTGTAGACCAGGCTGGCCTCGAACTCACAGAGATCCGCCTGCCTCTGCCTCTCGAGTGCTGGGATTAAAGGCGTGCGCCACCACTGCCCGGCAGGAGAGGAGATTTTTATGGTAATACTATTTGTTAAACTATTATTACAGAATTTGTGAGTTTTCAGAATTTTTTGTTAAAGATTCATGTTTTTATTTCAGTTAACATGTATTTGTATGTGTGTGGCATGTGCAAATGTGAACACAGGTGCTGGTGGCATGCAGAAAGAGTCAGATCTCTTGAAGTTGGAGTTAGAGGTGGTTGTGAGCTGCCAGACGTGGTGACCTTGAGCTCCTGATCCTCCTCTTTTCACCTCCCAGTTCCTGAAATTATAAGTGTGTACCACCACACCTGGCTTGAAATTTAAAGATATATTTATTATTTGGTTTACTTTCATTTAGCAGGGAAGTAGTGCATTAGTTACTTTTCTGTTGTGATAAAACACCATGACCAAGACAATTTACAAAAGACTTTATTTGGGCTTAGAATTCCAGAAGGATAATTATTATGTCCATCGTGATTGGAAGAATGGCAGCTGGAGCAGCATGCTGAGAACTCACATCTTGAACCACAAAGCATGAGGCAGAGAAAGCAAACTGTAAATTTGACTTTTTCTCAATTGTTTTCCTACAGTCTTTAACCTCACAAAACTTACCTCTAGAGAAATACTTCCTCCAGCAAGGCCACACCTGTTTAGCCCTCCCAAATAGCAACACCAGCTGGGGACTAAGTGTTCAAATATCTAGCATATGGGCTATACTCTTTCAGGTGATTGCAAGTAGGCACATTTAATTATTGTGACTATACATGTTAGCATATAGTAGCCAGAATTCCCAAGTTATTTGCTTATAAAAACACATGTATTGATTCAGAATTTGACACCAGGAATTTTGTATTACTTTTTTTGACTCTTAAGTGGTGAAATCTTTAGGACTGGCAAAGTCAGCTACTTACGGGGAGTTAACATTTAAGAGAAAGATGGCATTTCTGGGCTTGGTAATGAATACATCATTGAACACCCATGCACCAACCTAGAGCTTAAACTTTAAAAGCAAAATTCTTCTGTCTGCAGAATTAGTGATTTATTCTCAGGGCACTTTGCATATGCTCCTGAAACATTTAAATTGTTTATCTCACTACTCGAACTCAGCTGACAATTTCTGGATATCTTTTAGTCATTTTTTATGTGTACAATATGTTATTAATAAAAATGTCCGCAAAAGAAACCAAATCATAGGATGTTTCAAGAACTAGGAGTATTTGAAACAAAGTATTTGCTAATCTGTGTGGCTAAAATATGTTTTAGGTGTCAGTGATTCTTATAAATCACACAAAAACTAATTTGACTTTGATAGTGTACATATGGCTTCACATAATAATTTTTGTAATTAAAGAAAAGATCATAAGTATTAATTTATGAAAAATAAAATACAGTGATAACCCAACTTGGTTTTTGGTTTGGTTTTTCTGATTTTTTGAGACAGAGTATAACAGCCTTGGCTGTCTTGAAAGTAGCTCTGTAGAGCAGGTTGGCCTCAAACTCACAGAAATACACCTGCCTCTGCCTCCCACTGCCTGACTATAGCCCAACTTGTAACTAGAAGAATTTGACTTAATAAGGATTCATTTAGTGCCTCTTTTGACTTAAGAATGGCTTAACTGTCCTGAAGCTCGGGACAAGACATCATTTGATAATCTTGGTGGTTTATGGTACGGGTGACTAAGTGCTGCCTTGAGAATACCAGATTGGGGGCTTGCAGAGATGGCTTAGTGGTTGAGAGTATTGTCTGCTCTTCTAGGGAACCAGGGTTCAATTCCCAGTACCCACATGTGAGCTTGCACCTGTCTGTAACTGTTCAGGGCTGGTGACACCCTCCCACAGTTATATATGCAAGCAAAACACCAGTGGACATAAAATGAATTATTTTAATTTGTTTTCAGGATAATCATTCCCCTATGATGTTTTCTTTTAATGAACTTCTTGGGGGCATTTTGTAGGACAGATTTGTTAAGCTGTGTATGCATTCTTGAATGTCTAGTATGACACAACTTAAGTGCCATTATAGGACAGATGAAAGAGGAAATACTTTAGTAGCTTGTTGAACTAATTAGTGGTAACAAGTAAGTGGAGTTGTGTTAGTTGTATTGAGTGTGCCTAGATCTTTCCCCCAACTACCCTTCACACACAGTGGAAAAGTGTTTAAACGTGTAAGGGGGATGTTTTATGGGCAAATTTCACTTAGCAATCTGAAAATGATTTTGAAAAAGCTTACTTGGCATTCGTTATACTTTTGTCTTGCACTAATTAGACATTCAAATTTTTAAATTTCCTATTTTCCTTGATAAAATACCAATGAAGAGTACATTACGGAATAAAATTAACTTTTTTTTTCTCCCCAATACAGAAGCTCCACCATGAGGCGAGGTGGATGGAGGAAGCGAGCTGAAAATGATGGCTGGGAAAAATGGGTGTGTTTAAAAATATTTAAATGTCTAGATAATTTTTGTTCCTTTTAGTTTATTATATGGCTTACAGTATAACTTGTGACTTTATACCAACTCTTGTTTTCTATAGTGTATTGAAAACCTTAACACTGTTGATAAACTCTAACATTTAAACTTCATTTTACTGTCAAGAATTTTGACCTTAGGAAGTAAATATTCTTGCACACAGCAATTTATTACAGTTTATCTCATTAATGCTAATAATACTGAGAAACAGGAAAAATATATAAGTATCCAGTAAGTAGGGTGTTGTCAATTAATCATCTGTATATAGTAAAACACTGTAGTTATTTCTTAGCTTTGTATGTTTTAACCTGGGATGATAGCCTTGATTGAATTAGAGGGTAATAAAGGAATATTGCATATGATTCTAATTTAGTGTTATGAGACATAGAAAGAAGGCTTGAGATTAGCCTTCCAAAATATTAGTAAATGGGGTTACAATAGTTTTAATTTTCTTTTTATATTTATTTTCTGAAAAACAATTATAGTGAGCATGTACAATTTTAATAAACAGTAAAAACAAGTCATTTGCAGTTTGGACAAACTGTACCACTATAAACTGTCACCTATAGCTTTACTTTAAAGACATAATCAGAACAGTCAAGCAAATTATTTTAAGGTTAAAAAAATGAGACTGTGTTCATAAACATGTCATGGTGCATTTTTTTTTTTAAGTTAGAAGTTTGTGGGAGGGAGGTGTAACTGTTGTTGACTGGTGTGCCTTTTCTTGAATTGTAGGGTGGGTACATGGCTGCCAAAGTCCAGAAGCTGGAGGAACAGTTCCGGTCAGATGCTGCTAAGCAGAAGAAGGATGGGACACCATCTGCAATATTTAGTGGAGTTGCCATCTATGTCAATGGATACACAGGTTGAGTTATTTTTACTTTTTTGGTACCCAGTTTTATCATGAACCTTTAAGGATTGAGATTTTTTTTTTAACTTCTATTCAATTATTTATCATATGTATGTTTATTTTTCTTCTGTTCTAGTAAAATACCATGACCAAAGCTACTTATGGAAGAAAGTTTATTTTTGCTTGTTTCCAGAGGGTTGAGGCACAATAGCAGAAGCAAGAAGCTGAGAGATCACATTTTCAACCTCACACATGAAGCAAAGAGCTTGAACTAGAATTAGGACTAGTCTGCATACTCTGAGAGCCTGCCCTCAGCAAGGTGTACTCTGTAACCTAACCACAAGTGTTCAGGTATTTGAGCCTATGGGAGATTTTCTCATGCAAACCACTGTATTCCATTCCTGTCCATCAAAGATTAGTGGTCACTATAGTAATGCAAAGTTCATTTAATCCAACTTTGAAAGCTTCTATAGTGTTCCACAGACTCAGTAATACCCCATGAATTCTAAAAGCAGATCACTTTCAACATACAGTGGCACAGAATATTCCTACAAAGAGGAATGGGAGCATAGTAAAGAAATGCTGCACCAAACAAGACTGACACAGTAGGATAAACACCAAACCTCTGCCTTGGCAGTTCCCATCCTGTGGGTCAAGACCCTTTTACAGGGTCACCTATGACCATCAGAAAGCAGATATTTACACTACGTTTCATAACAGTATCAAAATTAGTTACAAAGTAGCAACGAAATTAACTTTATGATTGGGCGTCACCACAACCTGAGGAACTGTATTAAAGGGTCACAGCATTAGGAAGGTTGAAAACAACTACTCTAGCTTCATATTTGATATCAAAAGACTTAGATGAATCCACCCTCCAGCTTTTTCTTCTGTAAAATATCTCTCTCATAGCCTGGTTCCACTCCTTGTATGTAACTCTCCCTGGTAGATATCTCACAGCTTTGGGACCTCCAACACCTTAGACTGACTGCAACCTAGGCTTCATATTTATATAGTTTGATGAAATGGCCTCTAGGGGCTTTCATGCAGGGTCTCAAGATCAGTGTTGGCCCTGAAGTCCTTTAGGGTGTGTGTATGTGATTTCCCAGAGAAAGAATCTGATGTTCTTATTTGTCTGTAAAAGGGTATACACGTAACAGAACATTTTAGTTGGCAAAGAAGGTAAGGAAAAGGCCATAATTCTCAGTTTAGAAATGATATTCACTTACCCTTTCGTTGTTGTTGCTGTCTCTTCTACCAGCTGTATTTGCTCTTACTGAATCTAATGTCTGGAATGGATGAGTAGTTTCTTGTTTGTAATTTGGAGAAGATGACTTGAAATTCTAGTTACTTTTTATACAGTTTTAGCTGTGAACTTCCCATTTCAAGACTTAGCTATGCACCCACTTTTGGACATGTAGTATATCTGTCTCATCAAGTTTTGTTTTTTTTTTTTCCCCAAATTAATTATTTTATTTTCCTTTCTTTTGACATGAAGTAACCTCCTCCTATGGTTTCATTTATCCAACCTAGGTATTTGATCAGTTAGCACTTGTCCTTTGTCATTGGTTATTCTCCCCCAAATTTTCTTAATTCTCTGAGTCTTTTTATGGTCATTTTTTGTGTATGTTTTTCCTCTTGCAGTGAATAGTTCTTAATATTTATGTCAGTATTATTTTTTTAACCTGCTGATCAGCTGCATGATACCTGTTTATAGTTGAAGGTCTCTGTTTATACATCACTTTTGTTTGATTGTCTGTCTGAGGAGAGCCTGCTTGTTCGTCCCGGCTGCCCAGCTAGCTTAGACTTGAAATAATCACACAGAAACTGCCAAATCACTGCTTGGCCCATTAGCTCTAGCTTCTTATTGGCTAACTCTCACATCTTAATTTAACCCATCTCCATTAATCTGTGCATCACCATGAGGTCGTGGCCTACCAGCAGAGTTTCAGCATGTCTATTTCTACTGTTGACTCCATGGTGTCTATCTGACTCTGCCCTTCTTCCTCCCAGCATTCAGCTTAGTTTTTCCCACCTAACTAAGTTCTGTTCTTCCCTGCCATAGGCTCAAAGCAGTTCTTTATTCATTAACGGTAATCACAGCATACAGAGGGAAATCCCACATCAATTGTCTGATTGTCTTCATACTGATTTAGATGATTTCACATTGTTCCTCTGGGGTTATGGCTCTTAATGTATCTGAATATTAGCACTCATTAAACCTTAGCATAGTTCACTGTTATATAAAAGTAACAGCTAAATTTTCCTAACTATTGTATTGTACTGTTGCCAAAGTGGTGACTGAACCTAACCATTTCAGGAGAAGTTTGCTGAGTTAAAATTAAGTATTAATTAGTTGACATGCTTGCTTGGCTTAGTGAGGGCAGAGCATGCTGGTTGTAATTGTAAGTTTTATTGATAAAGTGTTAACCCAGAGTTTATATTCCAGTTGTTCAAATCCTTACTGTCCTTGGTTTTTATTAATTTGATATGTTTTTCAAGATGTGTTCTGGTATATCATGGCCAGAAGACAATCTCAGCTATTCCATAAGAGCTTTTTAAGGAATTGTCTTACTCTCTAATTTGCTAGCTAAATAACAAGGCTGGTTGGCCAAAGAGCCCAAGCTGTCTCCCTAGTGCTTGAGTTATAAATGCATGCCACCTGGACTGGCTGCCTTTTTTTTCCCTATGGGTTCCGGAAATGGAACTTACGTAGATCCTTTTCATTGCAAGTACATTATTAAACTGAACTGTCGTTGTAGCTCTCATTGTGGTTTTAATTTGCATTCTCTTTGTGGTTATTGTGTTAGACTTTCATGGATAAGACTTAATTCCAGAAAGGAACAGTTTTAAGGAGGAAAGATGTTTGTTGGTTCATGGACTTAGAAGTTTGGGGAGAAACATGACAGTAGGATGGCTTGGGAGAGAAAAGCTGTTCCCTGTGGAGTTCAGGAAACAAAGAAGAAATAGGAAGGACATGATGCCTTTCCCCAGTGACTATACTACGTCCCAGAATACTCTCTTATCTCATAAAGTTTCCAGTCTCCATAAGTAGTCCTACCAACTAGCTACCGAGTTCCTAGTGCACGGCTCTTCGGGGAGTACATTTCATATTCAGACTATGTAGTTTACCAGTATTGGTCAGTCTTTTATTAGTTCACTATTTTTTTTTTTTTTATCTTTCCTAAACCATCTTCATGTCAATTTTGGAGTAGCAGCATTTCCTTTTTTTTTTTTTTTTGTTATTGTTGCTGTATTTTGAAACAGGGTTTCTCCAAAGCTCTGATTGTCCTGTAACTTACTCTGCAGATCGGGCTGGCCTTGAACTCATAGAGTTCTGCCTGCTCAGCTTCCTGAGTGGTGGGATTAAAGTTGTGCATCATCATGCCCAGCACATTTTTTCATTTTTTTAAAAGAGCTTCCCCCTCCATGGTGTTTTTGATTTTTGAAAACATATTCTAGGTCTTACTGTTGTGCTTGTGGTTTGCTAATTTCTCAGGGTTTTTTGTTTTTCATCTTGACATTGTTTTGCTGGGTCAATATAATTTTAATAGTAAATTTGAATTTAGCCACTTTTTTTAACTTTTCTTAGAAAAACTTCTAAGCCAGACGGTGGTGGCGCACGCCTTTAATTCCCGTACTCGGGAGGCAGAGGCAGGAGGATCTCTTGTGAGTTCAAGACTAGCCTGGTCTACAATAGCTAGTTTTCTAGGACAGGCAAAGCAGCACAGAGAAAACCTGTCTCGAAAAACCAAAAAAAAAAAAAAATTGCTTTTTTCTAAATTTATGTTTACTTGTTGTTTGGAGGTTGCTTGTAGAGGTCAGAGGACAATTTTTAGAAATCAGTTGTTCTTCAGTTTATCGCATGCACCTCTGTAGTCAGATTCAGATTGTCAGGCTTGATGCCAAACAGAATTTAATGTGTACAAAATACCTTGCTAGGGCTAGGATAATAACCATTGTTAGACCTGTAGATGAGTTGGTAGAATTGACGTCTTCTCTGTGTTTTCTAGCCAGTGAATCTTCTCCCCCAATTCACTTTATTTTAGTTGATTGAAAAAAATAACTTTAGACTCTCTTTGAATACTAGGAAATATGTTTGGAAAGATGGTTGGGTTTTGCAACAGATGATCTGTGAGTTAGGTGTGAACAAAGGGAAAATGCCATAGGAAGCCTTTGAGTGATGATTAAAGGTGTGGTAGTCTTACTTGGATTCTTGCTATTAAATTTTATAATCTTTGTCATTATTTTGATAAATCTGACTCAGCTTTTATGAAATCTGTCTTTGTATTTGTAAAGTTTTGTTTTTGTTCTTAGCCTCTGAAAATTTCCTTCACTCCCTTTTCTTTTAATTGGTTTTGGGAGTTTCCATAAAGACCTAGGTTAAATCAGTTTTCCTTTCTCTAAGCCACTCTTTGGTATTTAAGTATACGTTCTTACTGCTAGAAATACTTTGTTTGAAACCTGAGTTTCATATCTTTTCCTTCAGGAAAGCCCATTTTGTGAATTGGTAGACTAGAGAGCACCCTGGAACCTTTGGGTTTCTGTTCCTTTCACTTTCTCTCTTGATGTGCTCATCCCTTCAAAGTGTTATTCCTTAAGGAGTCCTTCTCTGACTGCCTTCCGGCTGCTGAGCCCTATTCCAGCTTTACCTGTGTTTATTACACGTATTGTACCAGACTTAAGCTTGTTCATCTGACTTCATGTAGAGCTCAGGCTTGAGTTGGCTTCTTCGAATTTCTTGGGCTTATACAACAGAGTCATGATAAAAACAACTTAAAGAGATAGGGAAAAGGTATTTTAACTCACAGTATCAGAGACTTCAGTTTGGAGGGTCAAGGCAGGAGAGCTGCCCCCAGGGTAGAGAAGACAGAGAGTGGTGGTGCTAAAAACATGAAATCTCAGTATAAAAACTGTTAAATGTTCTAAAATGTTTTAAACATTTGCCTTATTAGTATTTGATTCTTGTTTGAGGCACTTGCTTGCTCTTCTGGATGTCTCTTAAGAGTAGATGTTTTTGTTTTGGTGTCTCTTGCAGGCAGGAGAAAATAATGTACAAGGCAGCATAGCTTTATCAATCATTCTGTTATTTTATCTCCCAGCATAGCCAAGGAGAAAGTGAACTAGTTATGTTCTATAAGCTGTCCTGTTTAAGGGATTATTCAACCTAACATTCTGCCGCCTTGTACATTAAAGTATTAATGTATTTTAATACTTAATTCTTTTTTTAACAGATCCTTCTGCTGAGGAATTGAGAAATCTAATGATGTTGCATGGAGGTCAATACCATGTATATTATTCTAGATCCAAAACAACACACATTATTGCTACAAACCTTCCTAATGCCAAAATTAAAGAATTAAAGGGGGAAAAAGTAATTCGACCAGAATGGATTGTGGAAAGGTAAGTTTAATTGTTGGTTAAATTTTAGTTTAGTCAATTCAGTTCCTTAAAAATTATAGTGCTTATTATTTCTGTTGGAAAACTGGCCCTACCTGTTAAAGGTTCTACCTTTGAATAACATGTATCTGCTGACTAAGTCTAAACACAAGATAATTCTTGGAGGGCATTTCAGATACAAAAATGTAGCCTCATGTGTTGCAGCATCAGAAGTCAAAGCAGGGGAGATAATACAAACAAGCCTCAGGAAGCAACTATGAGCAAGACTTGTTCTGTTCAACAAATATTTATGTACTTAGGTGTTAAGGCAGAATTCTTTGTACCTGGGAAGTACTAGTTAACAAAAATCCTTCACTCCCTCATGAAGCTTTCTTTCTATTAGGAGAGACTTTACAGTCAGTTTCATACAGAGTATCTTTTTTTATTGTGTGTTTATGTCGCTTAATTTTTGTTAACTTTACACAGGCTAGACATTTGGGAACAGGGAACCTCAGTTCAGATATTTTCCCCATCAGATTGGCAATAGGCAAATGGAACGTAGTCTAGTGTGAACTGTGCAGTTCCTGGGAAGTGGTCCTGGCATATGTAACAAAGCAAGAAACGTTTTTGCATGGCCTCTGCTTCAATTCCTGCCTCCAGTTTCTGTCTTGAATTCCTGCCCTGACTTCACTTCATGATGGAAATAAGGTGAAATAACTCCCTCCTCCCCAAATTGCTTTTGGTTATGGTGTTTCTAACAGCAATAGAAAGCAAACTAAGTAGTATATAGTACTATTACAACACAAAGAAACCCTGTTTTGAAAAGCAGAAAGAGAGAGAGAGAGAAAGGAGAGAGAGGGAGGCACCTTGATAGTAGAAAAAGCTATCCTTGGCCTCTGGGCATAAGTTTCTGTTCATTTTTAAATGTAATAATTCTCTATCCATATAATCTGGATTTAGAAACTTTATACATTTATTTGAAACCTTTGCTTCCTCTTTTGTAAAAGAATGTGGGTGCCAAAGAGTTGGCTCAGCAGATAAAGGCCGAGCATCTAAGTTTGGTCCCAATGGATTCACGTGGTAGAAGGCAAGAACTGACTCCTGCAAGTTGTTCTTTGACACACAGATACACACTTATAACTACACACATGTACACACACACACACACTTAACTCTCTAACAAACATATAAAAAACCTGATGTTATATATGTATCTGTTGTGGTTATGTGAAGCTACTGTCATTAACCTATATTCTGTAACCTGTTATACCAGTATTTAAATTATAAAAGTTCAAAAACACTTACTTCTAGAAAGTGAGCCATATCTAGCAGATTAAGAGGTCTGAAAATTTTGGGGAAATTAAATATGAAGGCCTATCCCTAGACCATCCCACTCATTCCTTCTTGTTTTGTGTCCTATTATGTGGGATTGAAAATCGTAACTTTTAGCCATTATAGTGTCTCCTTATAGTACTAAATCAGAGTAAGAAATTAGCCTCACTCCAGAGAAGAAATGAGTTGTCACAGGCAGTTCTGATTTTCCTCCCTGGCTAGATTTTGAATCTGAGTTTGTAACACTTTCATTTCAAAAGATGGAGGGAAACTTGACAGTAAGAGAAACAGGGATGAGAGAGCTCTTGCTGAGTGGGGCTTTTTCTGCTTACAGTGATATTTTTCATTATTATAGTTATTTTCTTTTCATTAGCCCTTGCTGAATACAGCTAAGAAGATAGCACAATAGGTAAAGCGGCTGGGATGTTACACATTTTAAAACAGGGTTTTATTAAGGTTCGGAATTAGTGCTCAATCATCTTTTTTTTTTTTTTTTTTTTTTTTTTAGTTTTTCGAGACAGGGTTTCTCTGTAGCTTTGGAGCCTGTTCTGGCACTAGCTCTTGTAGACCAGGCTGGCCTCAAACTCACAGAAATCCGCCTGCCTCTGCCTCCTGAGTGCTGGGATTAAAGGCATGCGCCACCACCGCCCGGCTTCAATCATCTTTTTAAATGACTATAAGTAACCTAGATGGCCTGTTGGTCTCATTTTTGGATAAGAAGGTAAAATCAGTAACCCAAGAAAGAGCTAGATTTAGAAATCAGATTTTCTGACTCCTGTGTGTGTCTAATCTACACCATATTTATCTGGGCTTGGAATAGAAGAGTAGACTCCGGTGTAACTCGATTATTTTTTACATGTATCTTATGTGTGGGTGCATCAATCTTACTATGTACAGTAAATCCCAAATGTATGTCATCATAGCATGAAATAGATTTGGTTAAATTATATAGAACTTTTGTTTTTGTACACTACTTGTAGACATGTTGATCTCAGCAGCATATAAATGAGATTTTTTGTTACATATATTTGTCATTTAATGGCTGGTACATGTTATTTCTATAGTTGGATTTTCTCTTTAACTTTGAGCAGTTTTAAAAGTGTTTCGAGTGTTGCTTTCATTAGAATCCCCTAAGTGTGTCATTAAACCTGAGCTAATACAGACGTGATTATAATGCCTTGACTTCCAAGAGACAGGGGAGTCCTTTAATGAGAAGTCTGTGTACATTAAAGTATTCGATTTTTCACTGAAATATTTGTCTTGCTGTTTTCCATGAGACAAACTTAATGTGAACTTTGAAACGTAGTTTAGAGATGTTTTTATGACATATCCTACTGGTCCATCTACCCTGACATGTGCATGGGAGCACAATTAAAAAAGTTTGTCCTGTGTTTTACTGATTGATTTTGGTTCTCTATGCTAGAATCTCCGTATTCTATTTTCTACCATGGGAATCAGTCTCCTGTGGTTAAGTTCATACATTGTTTGTTTCTGTCTGAATGGGGATAGATGAAAGTGTTGTTTTATTTGAAGTTTATGCCAACTCACTGCAGTTTGTTAGCAAGACTGAGTCCCAAGGTTTATCCTTTTTTCCTCCTAAATCCTCAAGCAGTACTATATTAACTTTTTTATTATGTACTTATAATCATAATGTAGATTTTATACTTGACATGGATTAAAACTTGGGCTTGTAACTGTAGTCAATATAAATCTAAGTGTATATTCCACATTTAATCTTGATGTACATTATTTTGCATCACTACAACATTATTCTGAGATTATTTTTGCTAGATTAACACCAGAGTTTCAGGGTGTCTATCAACCATTTCTAGGTGGTACCCTATTAGAAATTATGCTCTTGGGCTGGAGGGTCAACTGTAAGGGTACTGGCTGCTCTCATAACTGTAATTCCAGTTCTAGGCATTTGGCATGCTCTTCTGGCCTCCATGAGTACCAAGAATACATACAATGCAGATACATGCAGGCAGAGCATTCATATACATAAAATGTGAATAAATAAATAAGTAAGATATATGTTCTCTTCATAGCATAAAGAATGAAGAAAACAATGTGTACTATATATAGGACAAAGAGCAAGAAACTGTACCTATATTCTTTTCAAAGCTTGTGATATCTTGATGTGTAACTGGAAAGTTTAGGTAATTGAGGGTTTGCAAAGTGGATTGTAGACAGAAGTTTCTGTCCTGCCCAGTCCCCCAGCCCAAATAAACATACAGGTTTATATTAATTATAAACTGTTTGGCCTGTTGCTCATGATTATTCCTAACTAGCTCTTACAACTGAAATTAGCCCATAATTTTTAACTGTGGCTTAGTATCTTTTCTTGCTTCCTTTGCATCTGTCTGGTGCCTTTCCTCTTCCTAGAATTCTCCTGTTCTGGTTGTCCTGCCTATACTTCCTGACTGGCTACTTGCCAGTCAGCGTTTTATTAAATCAATAAGAATGACAAATCTTAACAGTGTACAAGAGCATTATCCTACAGCACTGGATTTCAGTTTTGGATATATAAGAACTCTTAATGAGCCAGGTGGTGGCGGCGCATGCCTTTAATCCCAGTTCTTCAGTGACAGGTGTATCTGTGTGAGTTTGCGGCCAGCCTGGTCTACAGAGCTACACAGAGAAATCTTCTCTCATTTAAAGAGGGAGAGAGAGAGAGAGAGATTGCTTAATGGTCAGGTAATGAGTAGTTATTTTCTTGGCACATACTTAGACCCTTTGTTATCTGAAGTCTCCTTTTGAAAAAGGAATGTTCATACCTGAATGACTTTGCAGGTGTTCATTGATAGTTTTCTGATAGAGAATGACTACAAACATTGACTAGATCTATACAACATTTGATTTGTAGAATTCTTGCATGCAAATAAAGCACTGTTACAGATGCAGGGAATATTTTTTATTTTAATTTTTGAAAAAATTTTCAAATTTGCTTGTAACGGCTTATTTTAAATTATTGGCAGTTGATAAGGATATGAGCCAGGCGGTGGTGGTGCACGTCTAGAATCCCAGAACTCAGGAAGCAGAGGCAGGTGGATCTCTGTGAGTTTGAGGCCAGCCTGGTCTACAGAGTGACCAGGCTCCAATGATACACAGAGAAACCCTGACTTGAAACACACACACACACACACACACACACACACACACACAAAATGATTCAGAAAGCTTGAGACAAAAAGTTTACTTTGAGAAAAAATTTTACCTAGACTACATGGAAGGTAAAACAGGAATCAAGGCTCATTAAAGGTGGACCTGATATCTTGTACTTAAAATTCCAGCACTCAGAGAGGCAGGATGGCTTTGAGTTCTAGGCTAGTCTGTGCTAAGTAGGAAAAAAAAGCTAACACTCCTGAACATGGAGATCAGGAATGGTCAGGTTTGTTTCACTGAGGACCAGAATTTACTGTCAAATGACATGGAAAACACTGTTGTAAGGAAACATGTAGTAGCATTTTCTGTTAAAGTGAAGAGTACATAACCTCTTGTCTGATCTTAATATTTAGAATCTCCTCCCTTTTTTCTTTTGGTAAGAATAGTTTATAATATAGAGTTCCTTGTGTTTAAGTGAAGCAGAAAACAGTAAATATTAGATTAATTGATTAATCTTTGAGAAAAATATGAAAAATATTGTGTTGCCTATAAATGTACATGTTCATATATGTTTGTGCGTGTGTAAAAGGCTGAAAAGTTGATGTTAGGTCAGAAACATTAGAAGAAAGGCGTCCTTTTTTTTTTAAACATTTGTTTATTTATTTATTATGTATACAATATTCTGTGTGCATGTATGCCTGCAGGCCAGAAGAGGGCATCAGATCTCATTACAGATGGTTCTGGGCCACCATGTGGTTGCCGGGAATTGAACTCAGGACCTTTGGAAGAGCATGCAGTGCTCTTAACCACTGAGCCATTTCTCCAGCCCCGCGCTCCCTTATTTTTGTTTGTTTTGTTTTTTTTTATATTTTAAAGACAGAGTCTCTCATTGAACCTGGGTGCCATTTCAGCTAGACTGGCTGATAAAAGATTCAGAAATCCTCCTGCCTCTGCCTTCCTAGAGCCAGGATTATACAGTGGACTTTTTATGTGAGTGCTTGAGATCCAAACTCAAGTAAGTCCTCATACTCATGTGGCCAGCACTTAAGACTGACCCCACTCCCTACTCGTATACATGGGTGTGATTTTGTGCTATCCCTTTCTCATCACCCATGATGAAAAGGGTAGAGGGTTGTAAGGATTCCATTAGAGTACCTGTGCCTGAGAATGCGGGAGTAGGTGAGTGTTCATAAAGAAAACTATAAGTGGGTAAATCCATAGTTTGGCAATTAAGACCATAAATTATAAAAGGGAAAATTGATTTGATAAAGAATAAAATAATAGCCATGTGGTGGTGGTGCACACCTTTAATCCCAACACTTGGGCGGCAGATGCAGGCTGATCTCTGAATTTGAGGCCAGCCTGCTCTACAAAGTGAGTTCCAGGGCAACCAGGACTTTTACACAGAGAAACCCTGTCTCAAAAAACCTGGAAAAAAAAAGAGTAAAGTAATAAATGTCTAACTTCAGAATTTTTGGTTCTGGTATTGTTTTTTTAACTTGCAATTTTTATATAGTTTGATAATCCATATAGTTCAATGAAACTTAAAATATGTTATAGTTGTATGTCCTTTACTGTTGTGATTTAGTAGTTTCAACATTTTGGATATAATCTGCAGTACATTCAGTAGGATTATTAAATATATCCCATTATAATTACACAAAGGCATAGGCTGTACAGATACTTAGTTTGATTTGTAGAGTGTCTCATAAGGGTGATATATTTCCTGTGTTTTAGTTGTTGGGTCAATTTTAAAAATTGGTTGACACAGTTTAGTTATTTCCCACAAAGTTTGCTTCTTTCTCTCAAGCTGTTTCTACAGCTCTAGAGTACTAGATTTCACTTAACATTGTAGTCACTGTGTTTGAGCTGTAGAAACATGTTTCTGCCCTCCTAAAGATCATATCAAATAATTTGTCTCTTACAACTCTGGTATACACACACACACACAAAATATAAATTATTCATTATTTTGATATTCAAATTCTTCATTTTGTCCTGAAATTATTTTAATTTTTGCTTTTTTTAAATTTTTTTTTATTTTTACTTAAAAATTTCCACCTCTTCCCATTTCCCTCCCCCTCCCCTCTCCCTCTTCCCCCTCCCTCTCCAGTCCAAAGAGCAGTCAGGGTTCCCTGCCCTGTGGGAAGTCTAAGGTCCTCCCCCCCTCCATCCAGGAAGGTGAGCATCCAAACAGACTAGGCTCCCACAAAGCCAGTACATGCAGTAGGATCAAAACCCAGTGCCTTTGTCCTTGGCTTCTCAGTCAGCCCTCCTAATGTATCTAATATATATTAAAACCACTGAAATAGGAGAAGTAAAATAGGAAACATGAAACCCTTAACTCACTGACTTCTTGATGTTCATTTTCACCTATTGTGAAACTGATTGGTTTGCCTTTTTGTTTCAGCATCAAGGCTGGGAGACTCTTGTCCTACATTCCATATCAGCTATACAGCAAGCCATCCAGTGCACAAAAGAGTCTCAACTTCAGTTCTGTTTGCAAGCCTGAGGAACCAGTGCCGGGTCCAAGCAATATAGCCAAACATCTCAACAACAGGGTGTAAGTTTGTGTAGATATGAAAACCAACAAAAAACGAATTTAGCAGTGAGTAAATATTATAAAAGCTGGGAATTCAATTTTAATAATCGTCTTAAAATACGTGCAGAGCTGTCTTTCCTATAAATTATCTAGTTTTGTAATAAAGTTTCAGAGGTACATTGCAAGTTTTTACAGTTATACTAGATTCTCTTAGTACATCTCATTTTTTGATTTTTTTATGAAAATATTTCCTCATAAGCAATTTTTTGTGTATTGTTAACTTTCCCCAAAAAACAATTAACTCTACCAACTTATGTTCTGTGTGCATAGCAAAATAATGAAAATGCTTACATTTGCAGATTACTTTTGAAAAATTAAAAATTTGTTATTTTAAGTATATAAATATATTAGCTATCGATTCTGTTATAGCTGTAGAGTGAATCTAGACTTTATTATTTGTTTTTAAAAATAATGATTTTTTTAATTGCAGTAATCTTGAGTTAATTGGTTCCACAGTTAAAGTGTTGTATTGCCCTAACTTGTACATCAAGTGGTTCATTATCTCTAGTCTTCTCCTTTGCTATTAAATTGCTTGCTTGGGGAGATGGATATAAGTTTTTCTAAAAGAAAAGGAGTCTAACCTGGGAGGATCCATTATTACTGCCTTCTGTCAATTTTGTTGTTGTTCTTGTCACTTGTTATTTAATATTCATTTAGAACTCTACTCCAATTTTTTTTAAATACACTTTAAACTGTGAATCTTCAAAATACTTTCAGAAAATACACCAATAACATGATGAAAATCCACATCTTGTTTTTCCTTACCCTCAATACAAGTAGAAAATAGATTTCTTTTAAAATTTATTTCTGTTGACAGTTTTAGAATTTACCTTTAAGATCTGGCTTCTTAATACAAGTACAGATAATTTTAGTTGCTTAAATATATGTTTCACTATCTCTTACACAACTGTTTTCTAAATGTGCATTTTTCTGGGTTATCAGCACAAAAAGAATTTGTGTTATTAACAGTATATTTTCTTGCCAGTAGTATATGCATTTTTTTGTTGGATACACTACTATTGTGCATGTAAAGAGTCATGATGTTTTGATGCAGAAAATCTAGCCGTCAGTTTTTGTTTTGTTTTACTTATATTACTTTAGTTAACTTCTCAGAGTTTGGTAAGGGCTACCTATAGTTTGCATTTTAGATAAATTTAGGCGGTTCTTCACTTCCTGCTCTATCCTCATGTTAAGGGGCAGGCTTCCTCTAAAAAAGCTTTTCTTTCGTTTCCAGTTTGTGTTCTTCTTTCACTGACCTTTTATGAGAGTTGGATATACTCAGAATTGGGTATCATAGACCATGAACGATACAGATACAGCCAGAGCCTGAGACAAGTAGAAATGGATGGGGATTTATCTGTTTTTGCATCCAACTTGTGTGATTTTTTCCATATAGCCAGACCATCATTACTAATAAGTCAAAGTGACATTAGGGTGAAGACCTTAAGACATCTGGTGGTACTGGTAATCTGACCCTTAGTATGGTGTTGTGTGTGTTACCCCATTACTTGGAGTCCACACTAATTGGAGTAATGCTGTAGACATTTGAAAGGATGCATCACTGATGAAATCCAGTCTTGGGTTTTGTTACTTAGATGTTTGTCTTCATTGACATTATTTTAAAAATGCAGAGTAGCTAGGATATGAATTTAATATAATGTATGTCATAGATCCTGCATTTGTTAAGCCTGTGACAATATATTTGATCTAGATTGCCATTGGAGATCTGTGGCATCTAAATAGACTTTTTTTGGTCAATTTTTAAAGTGTTGCCATTTTTCTTGTTAAAAATTGTACTGAGTTACTACCACACACTTGTTTCTTACACAAACCAGTTTGTGGTTGCATATGGTCATATCAGCTCTCACGCTGACTGAAGCTGACTAGGGTCAGGACTTTAATCCCATGTTCTGATGTTGGCTTTACTGTGTTAGAGTAAAATGTTTTCATGGCTTACATGAAAACAATGTAAAACTAGGAGTAGAAACTCAGGTTAAACTTTTGTTCATTTTATGAAAAGTAGGTGTTGTTCACATAGTTTATAAATGACAGCTGCCGTGTTTTGGGATTCAGAGGTGATGGGTTCTGGTTAGTTTCTGTGGGAAAAGTCACAGAACCAGTGGACATGCCTGTGTGTGCCTGTAATGTCAGTACTTGATAAACTTTAGTCAAAGGCGTTTAAGTAATGGGGGTCTTAGACCCTATTTTCAAAAAAATGTTGAGTAACAAAAAAGAGAAGAAAGAAAGAAAATCTTGATTCTTTAGTTTGGCCAGGAATTATCCTTTGTTCAAACAAAAATATAATGTTTAATGGTTTAACTTTTTAGTATTTAAGGGGGAAACAGTAAATCACAAAGAATTTGTATTTTAAGCTTTCGAGTCATATATTAACTTAATTATTCTTATACTTTAGAAATCACATAATTAAGAAGATTGAGACAGAAAATGAAGTGAAAGCAAATGGACTGAACAGTTGGAATGAAGAAGATGCAGATGATGGTTTTAGTTTTGTGGATCTGGAACAGACATTTTCAGGAAGGAAACAAAATGGAATATCGCATCCCAGAGACACCTCTGCCATTTTTAATGGACATGCTCATAGCTCTAATGGTGCCTTAAAGACACAGGATAGCTTGGTGCCTGTGGGCAATAGTGTTGCTAGCAGGCTTTCTTTAGATTCTGCCCAGGAGGAGAAGAGGGCAGAGAAGAACAGCACCGACTTCAGAGACTGTACAGTACAGCAGTTGCAGCAGAGCACCAGAAATACAGATGCTTTGCGGAGTCCACACAGAACTAATTCCCTCTCACCTTCTTTGCACAGTAACACTAAAGTCAATGGTGCTCACCACTCCACTGTTCAGGGGCCTTCAAGCACAAAAAGCACTTCTTCTGTTCTGACTCTTAGTAAGGTAGCGCCTTCAGTGCCATCGAAACCATCAGACTGCAATTTTATCTCAGATTTCTATTCTCGTTCAAGACTGCATCACATCTCAACATGGAAGTGTGAATTGACTGAGTTTGTCAATACCCTACAAAGACAAAGTAGTGGTACCTTTCCAGGAAGGGAAAAGTTAAAAAAAATGAAAACAGGCAGGTCTTCCCTTGTTGTAACTGACACAGGTAGATACTAAAATTGTTTTCTTCAAAACAGTTATATTTGATGATTTTATTCTGATGTTTTCATTGGTATTCTAATCATTACAAAATTTTTAATATAAAAAATGTCAGGTTATGTAAGTTACAGTAAGTATGACAGAAAACTTATATTAGATTGAATTGTGGATAACTGAAAATGTTATCAGAACTGGGATGCTGTCAGAACTGGGATTCTAAGTATTCCTTCCTCATGTAGACAATATATTGTTTAAGTTTTGAACTGTATGAATATAACATTTTATATTCCATGCCTAATCTGTGAGAATGAAGTTGTTTGGTAGGGATAATTATGAATTTCTCAAAGCTTACTTCATAATACATTTTAAAAAATTAAACAGTGACATAACCGTTGTACTAGAGTGGTAAACGTAGTGAGATTGTTCTCACATCTACGTAGACTGTTTATAATTTGTGTGTGTGCTTAAAAATTGTCTCCAGCTCCGATAGGAAGCTGTTCTGTGACAGGCATTACTAAGCTAGAGTCTAGTTTAGACCTGGTTTGGAGTTTTAGTTGTTTTTGACAAAAGGTTTGACTTTTTTCTTTTGTGGGCGTGGAACAAAGAAAGTTCCAAGATTATGTGATGATAATCTTTTATAACTGTTGAAAGGGAGGCATAAAGAGAAAGATGCTAATGGTGTTTTAGAGCCATGTGAGTTTTCATTGCTGTTATATTTAATTGTTCGATATATTCCAACATGTTTTTAGTCAAAATGATTTTTCATTATTTCTAAAATATTTCAGAATGTTATAGGTATTAGATTATGTATGTCTTGATCCTTATAACCTGAAGGTCACTTTATTTTGAAAGCTTTAAAATACCTTTATGAATTAGGTCCATTAATGGGAATAAATTCATAAACTTACGTTGTAAGAAAACATTTGGTAGGTATTTGGTTTATACATTCTGTATCTCTTGACTATTTAATATTGTTTTTGGTTGCTTACCTTATGCTCATGATATTTTTATACTGTAGAATTGTGATTGTTGTTTGCCTAACATGTGCAAGGCCCTAAATTTGATACCTCGAACTGGTAAAGAAAGATTGTGCTTATGAAAACCTACTTGATAAATCTTTCTGAATGTAGCATAGAGGATAGCAAGGAAGAGCAAGGATTTGAATTATATCACTTAGCCCAAATCTAAATCCTTACTCTGCTAATTTCTGCAGCAGGAACATGCATTGATATTTGCTTTTCTTGTCTGTTTCCTCTTTGCAAGAGGAATGATAGGAATCAGTGATGTCCAACTTCTGAGTTGTCTGCTTAAAGACAATATGAAGATTCAGTGCCTTGCACATAATGATGAGTTAATATGTGAAGTAGCACAATTGCCAAGGAGTAAGTTTTTAAAAAAACTATCATAAAGCTGATAATCAAGAATATTCTCTGAGATCAGAACTGTTTGCAAGCCTGCCGTTCTTAGATTTAGGCACTCTTCCATTTTGGAGTACCAGGATGAGCAATAGTAATGATGTTATTTAAAGTAATACTATCCTAATAATTGGGTTATAATAACCCTTAACAAATGCATTTTAGGTTATTCAAAGCTATTAATCATCCTTATGAGATAATATTTATTTTCATCTCCATAAAGTAATAAAATGCTGCCGTACTAGTAACATCTAATGGTGTAAGAAAATTCTTTTTGTATGTAGGTTTTTGTTTTGTAGATGACTATTTGCAGCACATCTATTTAGAAGTGCAGCATGATAATCTAAGAATTTGGGAAATCATACTGGGTTTAAATCCTAGCTTGGGTGCTCTCTGGTTGTGAGACTTAATTAGTAATCTGTAAAAGGTCGGTGTGACAGGAATTTCTACCCATAATGCTTTGAGTATTTAGATTAACCCCTGTAAACCTTTTATATCCTCACACCTATGAAGAGCACTAGGTAGTAGTAGCCGCTATAATTGTTGTTCCATTAAATATGTTTGTAGAATGTGGGAATTGGAGCTCGTCAAAGGCTACTTGGCTCCATGTAACTAAGTAACTGTAGGCACCAAAATGGTTCAAATAATTATAGATGTATCTAATAAATCATGATTTTAAGATAAGACTATTACAAAGTAGAATGATACCATGGTATTGTTAGACTTGATTTAAAATTAGGTTAGAAAACTAGAGGAATTGAAATTTGTCTATTGAGATGGTACAGAGGTGTTCCATGGTGTATTCTGTGTTGTCTTAAGATGCCATTCTTCTTAAATAGGATTTTTACAATTAACTAGACTTGTTTTTAATGATAATAGTTTTGGGTTTGAATGTTCTCTTTTTCCTTCTAGGCAATATGTCAGTATTGAGCTCACCCAGACATCAGAGCTGTGTAATGCATGTTGATATGGATTGCTTCTTTGTGTCAGTGGGTATACGAAATAGACCAGATCTCAAAGGTCTGTATTCCTGTTTGTTTTAAGAAAATTGATACATTGTTATGAATATATATTGATATATGTATTAATTGATAACAAAGTGCTCTTTGAAAAATATTTTTTTGATTTTCCTTGTTTAGATCAGTTCCTTCAAATTGTCAGAACTCCATTATCAGGTATAGGGAAATTAGAAAACCTCTGTTTGATAGAAGTTGAAATCTGCAAAGAAGAATATCTTAAACTAAGACTCTTTTATCTTGCATAGATGGGGGGATCTCTGGATATTCCCCCCCTTTTTTTTATTGTTACCTGGAATTTTGTGGTATTCTTTAGACTTTGAGTTATTTCTTCTGTTCAAATAACTCCTCCTTGATGGAAGTAAACATCTAAAGCTGGGAACTGAAAATTCACATTTGGTTATTTATAATATTTTGATAGCTATGCATGAATCTTTTATTTATTTCTTTTGCATTAAAATTAAAACAAGCTGGGCGGTGGTGGCGCACTCCTTTTAATCCCAGCACTTGGGAGGCAGAGGCAGGCGGATCTCTGTGAGTTTGAGGCCAGCCTGGTCTACAAGAGCTAGTTCCAGAACAGGCTCCAAAACCACAGAGAAACCCTGTCTGGAAAAACCAAAATAAATAAATAAATTAAATTAAATTAAAACAAGTACAGATGTTGATCCTATTTATGCCAGAACTATAAAATTCTGTTTATAGTTTGCCTTCCATTGTCCACCCCTACAATCTGAACCTGGGATCTGAGTTGCCTGTTTTCATTGTAAGAAATCAAAAGTCATGAATAACTGATTGTTGCTTTTAGGTTGAGTCAGTTTATTAAAAATGTCACTAGGGCCAGGCTTGGTGGCACAAGCCTTTAATCCCAGCCTTTCAGAGGCAGGTGGATCTTTGTGAGTTCATGGCCAGCCTGGTCTACATAGAGGATTTCAGAACTACTTAGAGAGACTTTGTCTTTTAAAAAAAAGTCACTGAAATTATCCCTTTTGGGGGCTAACTGTGAAAACCTTAGATGATACTAGATGGTCGTGGGTATATTACAGCTTCTTCAAGATATAATACCTAAGTAATTAAAGGAAAAAAATTAATGTAATTAAAATCCCGTGAAAAACTTTTATTCCATGTTCTTAACATTCTTTTGAACTTAGAAAACAATCTTTTTCTCACAGGAAAACCAGTGGCTGTTACCAGTAACAGAGGCACAGGAAGGGCGCCTTTACGTCCTGGTGCTAACCCCCAGCTGGAGTGGCAATATTACCAGAATAAAATCATGAAAGGAAAAGCAGGTACAAATGAGTTCTTTGAAGCCATAATGCTCCTATGGATGACTTCTGGATATTACTGTTGGTATTGGTGTTTTAGAAGTAACAGCAGAATTAGAATAATTAGCTCTTTACGAGTTTGAAGGTTTTAAGGATGCTAGTGACAACTTGAATCAAACCAAAACCTGAATCTAAATGGTTTATTGTTTGGTTTTCTGAAACTGGATGGTGGTGTTCCTGGAACTCAGTCAGGTGTGAATTTTAAAACAGTGATTAAATCTGCTAGATTGGGAATGAAAGTCATGATTGTTTTATAGAAACTTTCATCTGGACTTGAAGTATTAGCCATTTGGCTTATGTTACAGTGAAGACCCTGAACTTTGTCTTCTTCAGTGTTGTTAGAATTTAAAGCTAGGCACAGTGTATCTAATACCAGCATTTGGTAGATGGTAGTGGACAACTGATGCTTTCAAGGGAAGCCTAGAGAGCAGGGAAACCCTGAATTAAGAAAGAAGACAGACCTCTATTAGAAACATAATTTAAAGGCCAGCCAGACTTCCTTATTTGATTAAATTTGTTTATTAAAAGAAACATTTTCATAGCTATCTTGGAAAATTATTCTCGTCATAATAAGATCTTTTTTTATTTTTAGATTGTCCCTGCCTTAAAGTTCCAAAGAGTAAAAAAAAAGAAAAGTCTTTCACATTGATTGGTTTCCTTGTGGAATATCTTGTGAAAACACAATAGAAAAAATTTGTCTTAGGAAAACATTAACCAGAAGAGAAACCTAGAGCTCAGTAGGAAGGATCTAGTTTGGTTTATCCCAGTCACTTCAGTTCCCTGATTGTCAGATAGAAAACATTGGACATACGATGCTAACGAAGCAAGAGTAGTCTGGATGTCTGGATTTCTTTTCTGGAATTAGTCTTTTTGTTGATTGTGATCATCTGTTTACACAGTGGTCATTGGAAAGGGTAATGGTAGACATTTACTTTTTAGATGTTCCCATTTCTCAGGTTTCCTATGGCTTTTATTAGTTGCTAAATGTTCTCAGATATTTTTGAGATTCTCGTGTTTTGTGTCAGTAGATCGTGGGGTAACTTACTGCACTTGTTGAGGCTTCGCTTCATGGTCTGTGGTTAGTTTCTTAAGTGAAGTTTTATAAAAGGTTTTATTTTCTTTCTGTATTTTCTTTGTGGTATTATTAAAAAGATAAAACTTTGAGTTCTAGAAACCAAGAAATACGTAGCTGAAGGAAATCACAGTCCTTGTCACATTGAATACTTAGCGAACAACTATCAAAACAAAAATATCCCAGATGAGTATATTTGGTGGCGTTTCTAACTTCCATTGTGCTCAGATTCTGTTGGGTAGAATCTAAGCCTGCTGCTTATTTAAGCAGTCTGCATCTAGATTTTGACCTTGGCAGGCGCTTGTTCTTTAAAAGTAACAGGGAGCTTGTCTTCTTTTGTCTTGCCTTCCATCACTGTCTGGTCATACATGATTTTGCAGCAGAATATTTTCTTTGGTTACTTAATTATCTTCATCTTTGTAGCCACCAGATTTTAGCAGCTTTTTAAAATTCGTATCTCCTTCACTTCTATGGGTGTTACTCCAGAAGCCAAGTATTAGAGGAAATGTTTAAGTTCCACTTGGCATTGAAAATTGACAAAACAGATTTTCCTCTCCTTAGAAAAAGTGACTATATTACCTTGATACTCTTATTTTAACTTGATGATACTCTTTTTTTTTTCTTAAGCCCTTTGACTCATTTGGAGCTTATAAAAATATTTTCTGAACATAAAAGAATTGTCTTTTTATTAAGATTATAGCCAGACCTGTGCCCAGAAGAACTTGTTTTCCAATGCCTTTGTTCCACTTTTCCTGATCTCTCTTTCTCCGGGTCATTATTAGACATAGTACCAAAAATAAAAGTACTAAAGATCAGTTTAGAAGCTAGACTCTTTGACGTTTACGTACTAGCTTTGTAAAAATCAGTTCTAATATTTTGACTTGTGTGGTTAGGTTAGGCAGATACTACAACAAAAAGAAGCATCTTAGTCTTTTGGAAACTGATTTCTTGTTCCTTATATTCAGAAACTAAGTCAGTGTAACCAGGGCATTTCATCCGTCTGTGACTTCCTTTGTGAGCTGTTTCCTGAATCATCTCATTGATGATTTCATTCAGAATCATTTAAGCTCTGCACTTCATGGTAGGGGCCTTTTACCCCTTCCTGGACTCCCAGGATGCAGATGTTTTCTATCCCTTCAACAGCTTCAGTTTTCATTCTAAAGAGCAACAGTTGAAAAAATCGTATTAGTCATAGATTTATTCTCAGCGATTTCTTTTTCACAGACTTGTGTCCTGGCCTCTGATCTCTCCAACCGTTCCTCCACATTCTCCATGTGCCCGTCTAGTTTGTCAAGTTTTGATCAGCAGTTCTCTACTTTGCCCTCCAGTGAGGACAGTGTGTCCCTGCATTTCCCTGAATCTCACATGAAGCAACTCACTCCGCTGTTGGAGAGACCCACGCACTCTGCTGCACTGTGGAACAGGTCAGCCAGCCCAGTGAAGAGGAACACCACGGTGCTGCCTCTCAGGCCAGGGCATTGGGGGCGCATGGACCACACTCTGTTCTCACTTCAAACATGAGCTATCTGTAATTTCCAAATGAGACGCTTAGGCTAAGTAGTCCTTCAAAATAAGGGTCATGTAACTTCCTTTCAAAGCATAATTCGTGGTTATAACTTGGAAAGAAAGCAGACTGTGGCTGTGGTCTTTGGTTAGTGGCACCTCTGTTGGTCTGTTACTGACAATCCTTAAACTCTTACAGATTAGATAATGAACTGTTGCAGAAGCACTGAATAATCTACTCACTTTCTGTCTTGAGTTTGTAAGAGAGTGGCCTATATTACTTACATTTGACCAGAAATCATAGCTTGCTTTGCATATTCTTGTTTTTATTTTTAGATGCAAGTAGCATTTAACTCCCACCAAGATACCAGTTCTGAGTTTGTCTTGTATTCATGGTGTTCGTGTATAGGTGCTAGAATCTGGAAATAATTGTTTGGGTTGCATATTGGGTGAAAATGTTCATGGTAGTTAGTCAGATAAGGACGAGTTATTGTAGCCTATAAAGCCAAATACTGTGTTGTGTTTTCCTGGTGGTACAATAGGTTGGCTGTTTTTTCATGGAGCATTGAGACTCTCAAATGAATGGAAAAGAGGTACTGAGTTTGTTAGCTTTGTCTTATTATGGTATATGGTTTTTTGGAATTAGCTATTGATAGGTTTAGGTCTTGCTTTACTAACTATGTTATTTATAGAGTAGAGACATGGCTGAGATTGTGTTTTAAGAATGTTGAGGGTTTTTTTTTATTAAGTTCAGTAAAAGCAAACTTTATCTTTAACCTAATAGTATTATCCAAAGATGTATGACCAAAACTTTACTCATCTACTTCTCAATTATTAGTAAATCTCATTATGTTTCAGGTGTCCTATAGTCAGTAGGCTCTCTAGGGCATGTACTTTTATATGCTTGGTGAAATTGCAAAGTTGATTTGGATATTAGAAATGTTGGTGAACTGTTGTTCTGTTGCGGCAAGAATTACCTAATTCTGTAAAGCAGTTACTATTGATTATAATTGAGCTCAAGTTTGTTTTTTAAATTGAAATTACAATTGTTAAAAGTAGAAAATAATGCTTGAGGCTGTTTTTACCTGATGTGTTTAAAAGAAAAACCTTGAAGTTTAATATGAACCATCTTTATAGTATATGGAGATATATTTACATAATATATACATATTATTTGTGCACGTGTATGTCTATATGTATGTCATATATAGATAAGATCATCCGGTTACACTGGCTTAATTTCTAAATTTGAGGAACAAGAAACCAAAGTTTCTAAAAAGGATTACTAAGTTATTGTTTAATCACATGGCTGGCAGAAATTTGATTTCTCTTTGACAAAATTAGTTTCTCTTAGGAAATAACAAAATCATTCCAAGAATCTTGTATTGTCTGTTAACCTTTTCCATTACAGTGAGGTACAAAATTCTCCAAAAGCAGGGTTGGGAGTTTATTTCCCTGATCACTTTCATCCTTATCTACCCTGAACGACTGTGTTTTACAGGATAACAGAATATTTTACATTTATTAAAACAGAATACTTTGAATTTATTTTATGTTTTATCTGGCTGTTGCTGAAGAATATAATGCAAAAAATTTAATAGTTTTGTACTAAATATAGAAATAATACCAATTCAAATAGGTGTTTGGAACTTTTTAAACACTTGGCATCTTAAAATAATAGAAAACATTTCTTTAATAAACATTAAGAAAAATAAATTTTTAATGTAATAATTTTATTTTAAAGCAGATATACCAGATTCATCAGTATGGGAGAATCCAGAATCTACACAAACAAATGGAATTGATTCTGTTTTATCAAAAGCTGAAATTGCTTCTTGTAGTTATGAAGCCAGGTATGTAGAAGCTAAATGAGTTCTAGTTCTGAATGAATAGTTAATTATTCTTATATACTTTTTCTTGTAAGTCAAGCCTATGATTTCAACATATTAGATATGTATTATGAAAAGAAATATTTTTAGCGAGTCCCTTCATTTACATTACCATGATAATAATTTTAAATAATGTAATAGTTCCTCATGATAGATCCTGCAATGGAAACAAAAAGAAATTAGGCATTGTCATTTTTATTGTCTTTCAGGCATAAAAATAAAAGTTAGATTTTTTTTTTTTTAACTGGTGTTGACAGACCTTAGTAATTCAGTCTTTCCTTGTTACACGTAAGAAAAATTTCTTACGTTTTAAAACCAGTAATTGCTGGGAGAGATGGCTCTGCAGTTCAGAGCAGTTGTTCTTGGAGAAGACTAAGGTTCAATTTCTGACACCCACATGGTAGTTCACACCTGTTCATAACTCCAGTTCCAGGAAATCCAGTTCTTCTGGTCCTTGTGAACACAAGGCGCACATGGGGTGCACAGGCATACATTCAAGAAAACACACGAAAATAAAATTAAGTGGAAACTTGATTGCCTTTTAAATCATAAATTTCCTTCTATCAGACATTCTCACTTCAACTTAGTAAGAATGTGTAAATTTGTTACCACTAACTTTTGTGTAGGCAATTATCTCTCAGTCTGAAACCATAATTAGATCTGCCTTTTTAATGAGAGGAGTACACTTGTGCTACTTACATGTCAGAACATTATGTAAGGGCCAATGAGACAGCGTAGTGGTTAAGGGGCCCGCAAGTATGATGGCCTAAATTCAATCTTTAGAAATTCATGTAAAGAAGAGAAATTGGCTCCTCAGAATTGTCCTCCAGCATCCACAGGCATTCCAAGGCTTGTATCCCTACATATACACATCATCTACATAATTGTAATGAATGAAAATTTAAAAATAATAGTTATAAAAATAGGAGTAAAATAACTACTCATTAGAGGAATCTTTTTTTCTTTTTCAGTAATTGAACTCAGACACTTTCACCTTTATAATTTAGTGAGCACTCATGTATCTATGATATATATTAGAATTCAATAATTGTGGGGAAAGGTGTTAAATTATTTAAATTTTTCAGTATTTTTAAGTTTGGGGGTACTTCAGGAAGTCTGATCTGAACATAAAATATTTGAGCTCAACATAGTGTAGTTAGTAGTTTTTTAAAATTCTTGTAATTTTATTAAAATGCTATTTTACTAAAATAAATTATTCAAACATGCATAAATATAAAGCATGTTCTATTCTTACCTATTTTATGCTATGTCAAATGTAAACTCACTAAGTTTACTTTTATCATAAACAAAAACTGTTTTACTATTGTCAATTGATAATGTGGCCAAAAATATGAAACTTACCTTTCTAAAGTAGTAAAGTGAAATAGAGATGAATTAGGATTGTTGGCAGTGTTCTTAACATAGGTAGTTCAGAGCTTAGTGTTTAGAGTGTATTAAATGAACCTGGCAACTAATAGGTAGACAGTTGTTACAGTGCCCAGAAGTGCGTCCTTGCAAGTTGATAAAGGGAGAACTTGGGCCTTTTTAGGGTCTTTGTCAACAAACACCAGCTACTTCAAAGATGAATGCTGGATGGAAGTCCCAAGGTTTTGTCCCAACTAGGTGTGTGGTCTCAATTCTGGTAGTTCTCTGAACTTACTGGTCTCTGTTTGATGGTATATTTGTATTGACCCACAGGTGGCGACTACTGTGCTGAAGATCAAAATAATAGGGGTTACAGTAGATTAGCACGAAGTAGTTTGTGGCAAGATACATAAGTGCTAGTTAAATAGTACATTTTATTTCAGATTTGAGTAAAAAGATAAAAATGAGCTTGAGAACCAAAGCCAAGTAAACCCATGTCTGTACAATCACCTTTTTTGTCATTTTCTATTTTCTAGAATGCTTTTTACAATGCATGTCTTCAAAACAATTTCTTACCCCTTTTCTAACCAAATTTACTAATTTTATCAGAAATGTTTGAGATTAGAGTTATAGAGTATGGAGATGTTCTAGTTGTATGCAGTGATGAACTTGACATAGACAGTAGTGAAGTTACAAAGAAAGAAATGTGACTAGGTGGTGGACATCTCTCGACACTGGGTGTGTCCATAGAGATTACTGGACACACTATAGAGAGCACATGTTATACGTGATGAGAAGATAGTTGTGGTGAAGAAAATGAAATTTTTATTCTTAAGCCACAGATACGGTGGTAAGAGATGGTAATTCTCACACGTGGGAATCAGAGGCAGGAAAAAGAGTTCAGTGTCATTTTCTGCTACATTCAAGGATGTACATCCTGTTGATTCAAGGGTGTACATTCTCCACATTCAAGGCCTTATCTCAAATATACCCCTCTAAAGTGAAAAAGAATTTTTTAATATGCTTTTATAAGAACCTTTTACTGTTATTTAATGATAATAGATTTATGATATGTAGTATATTGAATGAACATCAATAGTGACTTGGTGCTTTTTTCTTTTTATATTGTTTAATCCCACCCTAAAGAGTTTTGTCTATGCCGGGTGGTGGTGGCTCACGCATTTGGAAGGCACAGGCAGTCAGATCTCTGTCAGTTGGAGGCCAGTCTGTTTACAAGAGCTTGGCAGGCACCAGAGCTACACAGAAAAACCCTATCTCGAAAAACAAAAAGAAAAAAAAAAGTTTTATCTTAGTGAAGCATATTGCAGTAAAAATGTGTACTGTGTACTTTAAAATGGGACATTAATTCTATTTCGTAGCACATATTTAAAAATACAGCTTTGATAACTCACTCTGTATGGATTTTAGTTAGGAGGAACACATGAATCATTCTGTTAAAATCAAACCACTTCAGGGTTTGTTTGTTTTATGATAGAGTATCATTATATAGCTCAACTGGTCTAGAACTTTTCTGTGTCCCAGCTTGCCCTCAGAATCCTCTTGCTTCTGCCACCACGTAGGCGCTGCAGTTTCACTGTGCATTATGACACCTGGCGGACTTCTTTTGTGATTGTCCTTATTGGTTTATTTTCTGTGAAATAAATCCTAATTTTCTGAACATACATCTACTTACGGAAAATGTATTTTTCCCTTAGTTATGGGAAGACTTCCTGGGTTTGTTTCTTTTGTTCAGAACTTCTTTATGGTGTCCAATGGCCTTAGACTCTCTGCTGTGATGGGAGATGTAGCTCAGTTGGCAGAATGCTTGCCCAGCATGCGCAAGGCCCTGGGTCAGATCCTTAAACATAGCAAAACCTGGGTGTGGTGGCAGCACCTGCACTTGTCCAACACTTGAAAGATGGAAGCAAGCGGATCAGAATTTCCATCCTCAGCAACGCATAGAATATTTCCTTTGTGAAAGTTGCTTGAGTACCTAAGTAGAAATAGCATATTTTTCTAAGTAACATCTTTGAAATTTTTTTATATATTGAATTTTTAAAAAGGAAAAAGAACATTTGTAGGATCATTGTAACATGTGCCTTTAAGACTGAGTTTTTTTAATTTGAATATTGAACTTACATATTTTATAACTATTTTACCAAAATTTTACCCTTTTTCAAAGCTAAATTTTAGGGAAAAAAAATTTCTAATGTTCCCATATACTTATCTAAACTATTGTATTGGTACTTCTCCATGTATGGATAAGCATTGGTTTATTAAGGCCTACTCAGGTCATTCTGAGTAGATGTAAGGACATGCTGACAAAGTATCTTGAGGTCTGTTTGTGGGACACACCTAGCACCTTACAGAATGCTTGATGATGTAACTGCATGTAGCTAGCTTTTTCAGCTGCCTTTATTGTCACGTCATGGCTTCCTTTCCTAACATTGTTTGCTTCTTACTAGATACTCTGCCCATTTGACACTTGATACTGAAATAGTTCATTACTTTTGTTTACATGAAAAAGTGCTTGTAGCTTTGTATTTGCCTCTCAATTAACTTGAGGTTTCTTAATTCTTTGTAGTTCTCAGTGGCGATCTCAAGGTTAGAGTAGTAATAGAAGACTGCTTATTCACTTGATCATAGGCAAGAGGCCAAGAGATAATTGTATCTGTTTCTTAAGCAATCATACCTCCAATTAAGTCCATACTTGGTGAATATTACTGAATGGATGTATGGAATAACCGTGATCATTCTATGTAATATTGTGTAATCTGGTGAAACATTGCTTTTTTTTGCTTGTGTTTTTACTGTGATATTTTTTCTTGATTCTTTACAGAGTGATAAAATGGAATTTTACTAATTATGTATAATTCCATAATTGTAGTTTTATGCTGAATGCTCCAAATATCAAAGGTAATGTGGGGCATTGAGACACACAGTAGATTTAAAATTTACCATTTTCAATTAGGTCCCTCAAAGTTCTGGAACCCTGGCTCCTGCCCAGAGTGATGTCCTACCATACAATGCTGTTGGCATCTCAACCACTGCGGAGCCACTTGAGGAGCATTGGAATTGGTCAATTGGGAATTGGGTGGTAATAGGATGAGTACATTTTGTCTGTTTGTCACATAGCACTGTTTTGTGTAGTTCTTTCGTTCATATTCTTTGTCTTTGGGGGATGAGCCCTGGCTAAACTGTGCCATGTGTTAGAAGAAGAAAAGCATTTTGACAGCACATTCCTGCTCTGTGGTGGTTGTGATATCACCAGCATATGGCATGCTGGCATCTCTGCAAAGGGGCCAGAGGTCAAGTTTTAGAAGTGTTTATCTATAGACAAAAGAGATGTCATTTACTGTAGTAAGACAATTATATTGTTTTCTGTTGGGGGGACAGCAGACTTGTAAATTATCCTAATGCCTATTGTTAACCCCTAACGAGAGGGGGAGTTACATGGAAATTGTATATTAGTGGCATGGGGAAATCGAACATACCTGCTATTTGGTTGTCAGCTTAAGACTTCCTGATGTAATCTCTACTTTATTTTCTTTTCTTTTTTTTTTTTTTAGACAATTTGGCATTAAGAACGGAATGTTTTTTGGGCATGCTAAACAGTTATGTCCTAATCTGCAAGCTGTTCCATATGATTTTCATGCATACAAGGAAGTTGCCCAAGCAATGTATGAAACATTGGCAAGGTATTGTGTATAATACTCTCATGTTCATTCTCCTTTGATTGACTCCTAAGAGAGTCCAGTTTTCTTTAGCATTTTGAGAGTCAGTGGGTTTTGTCTTTCCTGTGATCCTTTTTCTCCATCTGCTAATTTGATAACTGCCTTTCTTTATGAAGCTTCAGTATTGGGAGTTTAGTCTCAAGGGAAAATTTGCATTCCATCAGTGTTCCAGTACTTCTGAAGTGAGGTGAAATCTGTGTATGGACGTGATTTTCTTCTGAAGTGAGGTGAAATCTGTGTATGGACGTGATTTTCTTCTGAAGTGAGGTGAAATCTGTGTATGGATGTGATTTTCTTCTGAAGTGAGGTGAAATCTGTGTATGGACGTGATTTTCTTCTGAAGTGAGGTGAAATCTGTGTATGGATGTGATTTTCTTCTGAAGTGAGGTGAAATCTGTGTATGGACGTGATTTTCTCTCCCATGAAACCAGATAGACGAAGAATTTGGGTATTTTGTTGTTTTTGTTTCACTTGGTTCTTTTTAATTACATTTGAATTATAATTTGTTTAAAATTAGAATTCACAGAATAAGGTATAATAGGGTGCACTGTATCCCAGAATTTTAATACCAGCAAGGTTAATGGAGGAAAGCCCCTGAATTGTAACTGAATAAATTTAAAACTAATGAGCCAATGACAGAGAAGCATTTAAAAATCTTTTTTCATCTTAAATTTTTGTCTTTTCTTTCTTTTTTATTGATTTTTATTGAGCTCTACATTTTCTCTGCTCCCCTTCCTGACTCTCCCCTCCCCTTTAACCTTCTCCCAAATCCCCCATGCTCCCAATTTACTCAGGAGATCTTTTCTTTTTTTACTTCCCATGTAGATTAGATCCATGTATGTCTCTCTTAGGGTCCTCATGGGATTTGTGATTTGTGGGCTGGTTTTCTTTGCTTTATGTTTAAAAAGCACGTATGAGTGAGTACATGTGATAATTATCTTTCTGGGTCTGGGTTATCTCACTCAAAATAATGTTTTCTAGCTCCATCCATTTGCCTGCAAAATTCAAGATGTCCCTTTTTTTCTGCTGTATAGTACTCCATTGTGTAAATGTACCACATTTTCCTTATCCATTCTTCGGTTGGTCGAGGAGCATTTAGGTTGTTTCTAGGTTCTGGCTATGACAAACAATGCTGTTATGAACATAGTTGAGCACATGTACTTGTGGCACGATTGAGCATCCTTTGGATATATACTCAAAAGTGGTATTATGGGTCTTGAGGACGGTTGTTTCCTAATTTTCTGACAAATCGCTAAATTGACGTCTAAAGGGGTTGTACCAGCATCCCATCAGCAATGCAGGAGTGTTCCCTTTTCCCCACAACCTCTCCAGCAAAAGTTGTCATCAGTGTTTTTGATCTTGGCCATTCTTACAGGTGTAAGATGAAATCTCAGAGTTGTTTTGATTTGCATTTCTCTGATGACTAAAGATGTTGAGCATTTCCCTAAGTGCCTTTCAGCTTTTTTAGATGCCTCTGTTGAGAATTCTCTGTTTAAGTCTGTACTCCATTTTTTTTTATTGGATTATTTGTTCTTTTGATGACCAATTTCTTGTTCTTTGTATGTTTTGGAGATCAGACCTCTGTCTGATGTGGTGTTAGTGAAGATCTTTTCCCATTCTGTAGGCTGTCATTTTGTCTTATTGACTGTGTCCTTTGCTTTACAGAAGCTTTTCAGTCTCAGGAGGTCCCATTTACTGTTTTTCTCAGTGTCTGTGCTACTGGGGTTATATTTAGGAATTGGTCTCCTGTGCCAATGCGTTCAAGTGTGCTTCCCACTTTCTCTTCTATGAGGTTTAGTGTGGCTGGCATTATGTTGAGGTCTTTGATCCATTTGGACTTGAGTTTTGTGCATGGTTCATCTTAAAAGTTTTAAGCATATCAAAAATATTTTTTATAAAACTAAGTCTCTGGTAATTGTTTTACAATGGTTGGTTAGTTAGCTTGAGGAAAAAAGGATTTCTTTTTTGGTATAGGCTTTTAAGATACTAAGGCAGTATTAAAAAGAATAAAAATAATGTAGTAGTATGTACATGCTCTAAAGTCAGTCATGTAGTTTCTGTGTAAAGGGCTAGAAGAGGTCTTTCTCACAAGTACTTAATTCTGTAAATTGAAAAAGTCTTAAGTGATGTAAATCCCCAACTCAGGCCTGCTCTGGTGAAAATGTAAGGACATTGGTCCAAGAACCCTGCCAACACCCTTAAGACACAAGAGTGAGCACATACCTGCCTCTGACTTCACTTCTGACTGCCCGCCCCCCAATTGAAAGTAGACTGTTTCTCATACTATATATCCTGTTTACTGTTTCCCCTCCCTCTAGACGCCCCATTCCTCTTCAGTCCACTTCTCTGGATCCGTTCCCCTTCCGTCTCTCATTAGAAAAGTATAGGCTTCTAGTAGATAACAAACATAGCAAAATAAAATATAATAAGGCAAGCAAAAACCATTCCGTCGAAATTGGATAAGGCAAACCAACAGTAGGAAAAGAGCCCAAGAGCATGCATGAGGATCGGAGTCCTATAAAAATTCTAAACTGAAAACTTTAATATATATGCAGAGGTCCTGGTGCAGACCCACCCATGTAGGCCTGCCTTTTTGTTTTTGTTTGTTTGTTAAACTTTATTCTGAACACTCTTAACCAGTGTGTTCATGTAGCTGCTTGTTTCTGCTAGTCTCACCAAAAGAAAAAATTCCAGTCCCTGCTTTTGTGGAAGCTGTTTTAATAATGGAAAAAAAAAATGTATAAGGAAAGATTTCAGTTACCTATCAGTCACAACTATTCTTTTTTTTTTTAATTTTTTTTATATTTATTTATTTTATTATGTATACAATATTCTGTCTCTGTGTGTGTCTGCAGGCCAGAAGAAGGCATCAAACCTCATTACAGATGGTTGTGAGCCACCATGTGGTTGCTGGGAATTGAATTCAGGACCTTTGGAAGAGCAGGCAATGCTCTTAATCACTGAGCCATCTCTCCAGCCCCAGTCACAACTATTCTTAATGCAAGTGCAGTACTTTGGGCGTTACCATGTTTTAAATGTGTTGAAATGCTGTTTAAAAGCTGAGGGCATTGATAGCATCTAAAGGAGGGCTGGGAATAGGCTAATAGAGGGGCTGCTGTTTTCTCGGTTACACTAGTGGAGTAGGTTGTGCCTGGGGACTAAATAATTGAGAGAGAGCTAGGGCCAGTTCTACTTTCAGTGTGTGAACACTTTAGTTGGATGTTTCTGTTCTCAGAAAAACTCATTGTCTTTATTTTAAAAATAAAAACAAAAGAACACTAAAACCTTTGTTAAATTTTTAGTCTGAGTAGCATTTGTTTATTGGATGAGTAAATATGATTTATAACCTACCAAAAGGTGTGTATCAAGTGGATTGAGACAGTGATTTTGAGACCTCTTCAGCTATCTCTGGTCTGATTCTGTTCCATGGTTCCTTTGTCCTATTAAATATCTAATAACTATTATAATCCTCAGGGTTTATTGCTGAGGTGGTATTTTGCTTTTAGCTAAACAGTAGTTCTTGAACTGATGTGTGTAAACTTCTGTTCATAAAGGTTTCTGATAAGCCATGTTTGAAATTTTCTTAGATATTTTGGTACCTGTGATCCATTTACCACTTTGTAGCTATTTGTATATACAAGAGAATTTTTAGTAAGTCATTTCAGCTGTTATAGTTTTAGTATGAAATTGGAATACTAATTAACTTTGTAGTTAAAAGTTAGATAACTAAATAATGGCCCTTTGGATGCGTTATTAAAGATTAAAAGTATGTTTTTGTTGATTTTCAATAAAAACGCCTTGTCTTTTTTTGTAACATTTAATGTCTCCCAGAGCAGACCTTAGGTATTCATTGTCTTTGCTTTGTATTGATAGCTACACACACAGCATTGAAGCTGTCAGTTGTGATGAAGCCTTACTGGACATTACTGACATCCTTGCAGAGACTAAACTTACTCCTGATGAATTTGCAACTGCCCTCCGAATGGAAATCAAAGACAAGACTAAATGTGCTGCCTCTGTTGGAATTGGTTAGTATCTGACTTGTTATGTACTTGTTTTTACTCAGTTTGGAATCCTTTACTATCCCTTAACTTAAAGTAATTTTAATAACTTACTTCGTGTTGCAGAAGTGGGTTTTTTTTTTTGACCTTTTAGCATTGCTTACAGATGTGCAATAACTTAAAATTGTTGGAAATGGAAGTAAAGTGTTAGTAGTAGAATATTTTTTCATTAAGGGAGTTAGAATCATTCTTGGTTCTCAAGAAAGGAGAGTTAGATTAACTTTCAATTCTTGTTTTCCTCAACTTTGAACAGAAACTATACCTTAAAAACAGGTTCATAGCTTAGAACTTGAAGCTCAGCTTTAGTCTTCTCTTCCTTTGCTTTCCGGGCACCTCACATGTCCTCTGCAGTTGTAGACTCTACTTCCTCCTCTCTCCATTCTGCCTTTCATTTATTCAGCTGTTGCCCACACCTGTCATCCTTATGTTGACTTTATGCTGTACCATTTAGAATTGAAATGCGTAGGCTTTCTGTGCCACTTTTTCTACTTATCTAAGCCTGTTCCAAACTGTCTACCAGGAAACCCTGTCTTACCATGCTCTCAGGTGGAACGCTTCACACTCTGTCCTGCAGACTTGAAAAATAATTAATAAAGCTTTCTAAGCATGCTGCTGTTTCCAGCTGATTCCAGCATTCTCATTCATAAACTCTTTTCCCTTAAGCCCTTGTCTTTTGAATCAATAGGATTTAGATTGGGAACTCAGTGACATCATAGATAGGTTAATGCTACATTAATTTGAGGCAGGGGAGAATATAGACCAACCTGAAATCATGGTGAGACCATGTCTCAAGATGGGGGTTTGTGAGAGAAAGGACCAGTGATTTACGTTTAGAGATGGAGGTGACAAACATGCTGCTGAAGCACTAGGAACTACTAGGGTGTCACAAAGCAGAAGAAAGAACAACTTTGTAAAACTGGGCTGAGCACTCAGCAGCCACTTATACTTGGTACTTCCAACCAAGTAAGTCTCTTTATTTACCACTGCCCACTATAGAAAGAAACTTCTTTGACCAAGCTTGAGAGTAGCAAAAAATAATTTATGTGTGTAAACATAAATATTTTGACAAGTAGTTTGACAATATGCCCATTTAGCGAAAGAATATTGGGTGTGTATAGTCTCATATCCACCTGGTCTGTGGCCTGCCCAGCTATGGGATGTATAAAGATTTAGAATCCTGTCCTGTGGAGCAGGTATCACATGTAATCAGAGAGCAGTGTTTGACCCCTATAGCATTCATTCCCAGTATTGCACCAAGCGAGTACATCTTCCAGCAATATTTTTAAGATGTGAAACATCACAGAATACTGAAAGTTAAAACAGATGAATACATTGCCATTATTCATACAGGTACTGTCTGGCCTCCCAGACTCCCTACTGTTGACCTACAAGTCCCTATCAGCCTTTCTTCTACCATCCTCTGTACTTCAGTGTCAGACACAGTTGTAATTCCTTGTTTTTAATCATATTTCTAATCTACAAGTGATTGTGTAATATATTTTCAGTTCAAGAATGGAATTCAAACTAAAATGCCATTTGTTAATTCACTCCTGTCTTTGTCTCTCTCACCCTAAATTTACCACTTTGAGCATTTTGGTATGACTTTCCGAAACTTGAACTTTCTTACATGATGTGGGAGTGATTTCTTATTAATAAAGAAACTGCCTAGACCCATTTGATAGGCCAACCCTTAGGTAGGCGGAGTAAACAGAACAGAATGCTGGGAGAAAGAAGCTGAATCAGGAGTCGCCATGATTCTCCCACTCCAGGCAGACGTAGGTTAAGATCATTCCTGGTAAGCCAGCTCGTGGGCTACACAGATTATTAGAAATGGGCTAGTCCAGGTGCGAGAGCTAGCCTAGAAGAGGCTAGATAGAAATGGGCCAAGCGGTGTTTAAAAGAATACAGTTTCCGTGTAATTATTTCGGGTAAAACTAGCCGTGGGAGTGGACCCGGCCGGGGACGCAGCCTGCCGCTCGTATTACTACACTTACAAGAGCCAGTATATATATAGCCTAGGAAAATATGTTATTACATGATTCTTTCCTATGTTGTTAATGCAGGACTTCCCTGGTATCTTGGTGTTTCACTCATGGAAAAGCTTACCTGAGACTGTACATCTAGTCAGTCAAACTTGAGCCTCCAACAGCCCTTCTATAGACCCATGCCCTCTGCTGTTTATGGTGCCTGACTATATCTCTGCCATCATTTTCTTTTTTTCCCTAACATAGATTATTTGAGGGATTTCACATCCTGTACCAGATAACACTCACTTCTAATCCTCAGGTCCTCCTCTGGTTTGTGTTGTGTTGCCTGTATATCCACTGGAACATGGTCAGTCTCCCAGTAGCCAGCCCTTTAAGGAAGTCAGGCTTGCCCTGTATAACCCCTGCCAGATTCCCTCAGTTATGGAGAGCTACACTTCAACATCCTTATCACAATTTTATTGAAGAGTTCTTTGATGGTTTCCTTTCTAGGCCGTCACTTTGGAGTGGTGAGGTGCGGGTAGGGGTTGTCCCTGTTTCTCGACTGTTTGAGTCTTTGGTCATAGATGCCACTGCACAAGTAGCTCCCTTGTCCTTTGCATTCAGCAGGGGTACAGATCATGGGCTTCTGGCGTCAGCACTTGCCATTGACTCAACTGTACAGATCACGGATACCATCATAGCCTTCTGCAGCAACATGGCCTTCAGGGCAGCACGGGCCAAGTACACCAATATGGTGCTGATGGTGGCAGCAGCACAGACCACAGATACCCGAATAGCCTCCAGTGGCAACACAGGTCTGGACTTCAACATGGTCCCCAGCTGCTGCAGAACCACGAACGATCCCAGAGTTCTCATAGGCAGCACAGACTACAGACATCAACATGACCTCAGGCAGCCTCCAAGGCCACCCACATCGACATGGCCTGGGACTGTGTAGATGTTTCCCATGTTACCATCGAGGGCCATGCAGTTGTTTATGAGGACACCCATGGTCTGTGCCACACCATATTAAGCCATATTGATGTCCGTGGGCCATGTTTCTATCACAGTTTTCATTTCTGGCTTTCACCTCCACTTTGAAGACTTTAAAAGCCTTCTCTTATTTCGATGTTTGCTTTGGGAGTTTTGTTTCCATTGTGTGTTAACCTGTTTCCTCCAGGGATTGGAGATTTAACTGGATTTTATTTTAGCTTTAGTTTTTCTCTTAAGTCTGCCACACTTCTGAGTGGGAGGGGATTTGAGACAGGGTAGCCTCACTGTAGCCCATGCTGGCTTCAGATTCATAACCAGTGGATTACTTAAGCCTCCAGAGTATTAAAATTATTTACATGAGTCACTACACCCAGCCTAGCCCTTCTCCTGTAAGATCAGGGCTGTTTTCTCTGGTCTGCATGAGGAATAAACATTGAAATACTTGCTTTAAAATAAAGGAAAACCTCTGTTCAGCAACCTATTGGCCAAATCCTGGGATATATACCTTGTTTAAATTTATCAAAACTGAATTAGTTTTCATCATTTTAAGATGGGTGAATGACAATCTTTTTATGAAATTTTATATTTGTCTTTTTATGTGTCCCTCTTTATGAAATTTTAAGAAATAATTTTGGTTATTTCTTGAGTACTTTTTCCTCTTTCAATTTCGTAGGTTCTAATATACTTCTTGCTAGAATGGCAACTAGAAAAGCAAAGCCAGATGGGCAGTACCACCTGCAACCAGACGAAGTAGATGATTTCATCAGAGGTCAGCTCGTTACTAACCTACCAGGTAAGTACAAGTCTTTTACTAAGCATTTGCCTGTGAGAGATCACAGACATCTATATGTACTTTTCATGCCATCGTTTTAGTTATTGTGGGGCTATTTTTTCACTGTGGTTTCCTCAGGCTCTCTGGATCATCCTCCCTCAGGATTCAAGTGCTGGAATGACATGCATGTCTTTCCTGTCTCTTTTTAATAAATTGTTAACGGTCATGAAAAAGAAAACAAAGTACTACATTGAACACCTATCAATTGATTTATTACATATTTTATCTTTTCGCTTAGTGGATTCTCCTTTACAGTTGGTAGGTGGCCACCCTACCATGCTATAGGCCCCGGATTCCACCCCCAGCTCCACATTCATAAAAGCAAGCTGTTTGCCCAGAGACCCATAATCCAGGCATTCCAGGGGTGGAAGCTGGGAGACCAAAGTCCAGTGTCTTGTAAAGAATTTCTTAAGTAACAACATCAATGATTCTGAGAAATAGTTTTAGAGAAAATATAAAGTTAACTTAGTCTTTTAAAACCATTTATTTTATCATGTCTATGTTTGCTCATGAACATGCCTTGGCATATGGAGATAAGAAGACAACTTTGGGGAAACGGTTCTCTCCAACTATGGGTTCTAGGGATTACATCAAGTGTGTCAGGCAAGGGCCTTTTCCCAGTGAACCATCCTCTCACCAGCCCAGCTTCCCCCCTCCCCCTTTATTTTTCTTTTATTGAGACAAGGTTTCACTGTAATTTTAGAACCTATCCTGGAACTAGCTCTTACAGACCAGGCTGGCCTCGAACTCACAGAGATGTACCACCACTGCCTGGCCAACTTTTATCATTTAAACCCATAATCCAAATAGTATATTTCTAAAATGAAAACAAAGGTTTAGAAATGCATTTATCTGTTCTGTGAGATTATGCTTCTGAAATGCAGTTGGAGTACAGTAGTGTGTGTGTGTGTGTGTGTGTGTGTGTGTGTGTGTGTGTGTGTCAGAGAGAGAGAGAGAGAGAGAGAGAGATGCATGCCTTGGCTTTAATTCCCAGCACTTAAAGATTGATTTTGTTCTGTGTGGGGATGTGTACATGAAGTTGATCATGGAGGCCATAGGTCTTAGATCTCCTTGGTAATTATGAGCTACATCCCTTGGGCATTGGGAATCAAACTCGGGTGCTTGGCAAGAGCAATAATTGTGGTTTTTTGTTGTTGTTGTTGTTGTTTTTTTTAACCTTTGTGATGTCTCTATAGCCCCACCTAGTACTGCTTTAAAAAAAAAATTCAGAAGAGAAAAGGGCCCTTGGGCATGGTAGCATATGTTTGATGTGGTGTAGGGCAGCAGAGCTCCTGAGTGTCCTGGGTAGCACTGAAACATTGTGTACATTGTATGAGGCCATGTACCCTGGCCCAGCTGTAGGAAGAATTAATGTCACCTCTTTAAGGTGATCAGTTAGCTTTTGATAAGAGAAATGGGTTTTCCTCCCTTACTATACCACCATTCTTTGCTTAGGAGCCTTAGTCCTCATGTCACTGGTTCCACTTTTGTTCCTTGTGAGATATGGGCCTGTATCGTCATTTCCCCTAGTTCCAGTCCAGAGAAAATGCTGTGAAACCATCATGAATATTTGCAGTCATCACAGTACAGTTCTTATTCTGTGCTCAGTAGTATTTGTGTCTGTGCTATAGACTCAGACCATACATTCTTAAACAAGAGTCTGTAATCTTGGAATTATTCACAGAATTCTTTTTATATAAAATTTAAGTTTTGTTTCATGCATGTGTAAATAAGTAAATGACCAAAATTGTCAACAACTGTCTTTGTTTTCCTTTTCTTAGGAGTTGGACGTTCAATGGAATCTAAGCTAGCATCTTTGGGAATTAAAACTTGTGGAGATTTGCAGTGTATGGCTATGGCAAAACTCCAGAAAGAATTTGGCCCCAAAACAGGTCAGATGCTATATAGGTTCTGCCGTGGTCTGGATGATAGGCCTGTCAGAACTGAGAAGGAAAGGAAGTCTGTGTCAGCTGAGATCAACTACGGAATAAGATTCACCCAGGTAACATGTCTTTACATGCTCCTCTTTTAACCTCTAAAGCTCTTGATGATTGGTGGACTCAAAACCTTGGAGACTTGTAAGGTAGATCTCCAGTTAAGAAATCGAGTCTTTGCCCAGCGGTGGTGGCGCACGCCTTTAATCCCAGCACTTGGGAGGCAGAGGCAGGCGGATCTCTGTGAGTTCGAGACCAGCCTGGTCTACAAGAGCTAGTTCCAGGACAGGCTCCAAAGCCACAGAGAAACCCTGCCCCAAAAAACCAAAAAAAAAAAAAAAAAGAGAGAGAAATCGAGTCTTCGGTGGTAGTGGCACATGCTTTTAATCCCAGCACTTCAAAGGCAAGTGGATCTCCATGAATTCCAGGCCAGCCTACTCTACAAAGCGAGTTCCATGATAGGCAAGGAACCTTGAGGGGAAAAAAAATAATCCAGGTCTTAAGGAAAGATACAAAATACTTTGTTTGGGGTCAAAAGTGATTTGAACTGTAAATATTCTCATTACCAATTAAGAGGAAAGGGCCAGACAAATATTTTGAGTTTTAAAATTATAGTTATAAATAGATCTCCTTTACCTCATTTTCCATCCCCCTAGTGCAGTAGTTCTCAACGTTCCTTATGCTGAGACATTTTAATAGTTAGTTCCTCATACTGTGACCCCCCCAACTATAAAATTATTTTTTGTTGCTACTTCATAACTGTAATTTTGCTACTCTAAAGAATTGTAATGTGTAAATATTTGTGTTTTCCAGTGGTTTTAGGAGACCCCTGTGAAAGGGTTGTTTAGCCCTCAAAGGGGTCATGACCCCACAGGTTGAGAACCACTGTGTAGATGGTGGTAGTACAGATGGACTGGTTTGCTTTCCTTAAGAATACATATTTGGATTTAGGTATATCTCTGGAATTCAGCTCTGTAAACACGGCATATCAAGATTTGAAATCTGACAAGCACTGGGTCTTGTGAACTATCATTTAGGAATCTGACATAGTGTTGGATTTCACATTTTATCAGGGAATTTAAGAACTGCAAGAGGTCAGTAATAGTATAAAAAAAAGCAAGAAAGGAACTGCCTTAGGAGTACTCCGTACACTGAAAACATGAGCATTTATATTAACACACATTTCAAGGTGTATACACAGTGTTTCTTTTAAACAAATACAAGAGGGAAATAAGATATTTAAGATTCAGAGCTAAGATAATTGAGAAGAACTATTGGGTTAAGTAAAATAATATGGAAGTGGCTTTTTTCCCCTTTGTCTTTGGGTAGCCAAAAGAAGCAGAAGCTTTCCTTCTGAGTCTTTCAGAAGAAATTCAAAGACGACTTGAAGCTGCTGGCATGAAGGGCAAACGTCTTACTTTGAAAATCATGGTACGGAAGCCAGGGGCCCCTGTAGAGACTGCAAAATTTGGAGGCCATGGAATTTGTGATAACATTGCCAGGTAACCTTTTTCTTTTCTTTAAAACAACAATAACAACAAAAAAAAAAAGTTGGTAGTTATATTCTGTGCAAAGTATGTCAAATAAAATAAAATTAGTTTTAAACTTACCAATCCTGATGTTGTTAAATATACTGTAGAGCCTGAGGCCAGCCCATGGTCACTTGACTTAGCTTTAATACCCTATGGCAAAATACTAAAAGCTGAGGGATGGGTACTTTTTAAAGAAAAGATCTAGTTCAGTTTTTGGCGATTCAAGAGGCTGGCACTATTTTGAACTCTCTGTTGGCCAATGACATCACAGTGGCTGGAATATAGGCCACACAGCAGTCAAAATGCGAGACAGCAAGCTAGACAGGTCTCAACGGCGAGGTTTGCTCTGTATAACAACCTTCTCAACTAAGTGTTCATGACATCATTTATTTCCTAGAGCAATGATTTAATGAGCTCCTGTCCTTGTCTCTTTAGGTCCTCTAAATCACTGTCATCATACTGAGTGTCACGTTTCCAGCATGACCTAACAGACCACAACCACACTTGAGTCCAGCCAGCTGGCAGCCTGTGACTCCTTTTAGTCTCCATGCTGTTAACTTGAGTGTAGGTAGGAAAGGGCTGCCCATTAGTGAGCCAAGGAGGGACTGATGTAGTGTGTGAAAGATTGCAGATATCCCAGATTTCCATGAGTAAATCAGAGAACTAGCATCTCTATGTGAAATGAGCATTCTCTCTAAAAACTTGCGGAAAGCTTTAACACCCTGACTTCTGATGTGTGTCTTAATGCTAGAGTTCATGTGAGGTCTATGACCAACATGAAATCACTTTTTAGAGTGGATCTTCTATTCAGCATACTGCAGTTCATCTGACAAACCAAGTGGTAAAATCTTTAACAATGAAACCGTATTTAAGGGTTACATTATTATGTATTACATTAAAGGTTTTCAGTAAAGATTAGCTCATACCAAACATAAGTTGCTTATTGTATTGTGATCTTGTAAAATCTCAAATTTCCACATATACTGTGGAAACAGGCAAAGTCAAACAACATTACATATAAAATGTTTAAATATAATGTAAATGTATTTCACATGGAAATTAAATGCAATGATAATGGAACATGTCTGTCTGAAATTGGTTCTTAAGCATTGGTTTTTGTTGGCAGGCAAGAGGGATGCAATAACAGGTCCAGTTTACAGTGTTTCTGGAGGAACTGGGACTGATGTGTGCTCATGCAAAAGAATCCCCATTGGTATTAAAGATATTAGGATGAGTTGAAACCATTGCTACCACATAACAGGTCCTTCAAGGTTCCTTACAGATCTAGAGTTTTCCATTCTATTTCTTTTATGCCAGGCTATAACAGTATTTGACGTAGTAGCTACATATATTTTCTTTATGATAAGCTCTAACAGTATTTCACATAAGAGCTACATACTTTTTCTTACACATTTATAAAAGCTCTGAGAGAAAAGTAGAAGATATTTAAATGTTGAAAATATTCAGTGGCTTTCCTTTAAATATAATGGAGAGTCAAAAACCAGAGGTTTGAGAGATGGTTCAGTAGTTACGAATACATCTTTTTAAAAATTATGTATATAATGTGTATATGCATACAGGTGCTGTGACAGAAGAGGGTGTGAGGTTCACTGAATCTGGAGTTTGAGGTCACTGAATTGACTAATCTAGGTGATGGGAACTGAACTCTAGTCCTTTATAAAAGCAAGTGCTCTTAACCACTGAGCCATTTCTTCAGCCCTCCCCTGCAAGGTCTTTAAAAGCAAAACAGCTTATTGATTTCTCCTGTGAATATTACTTGTGCCTTAGTTTAATTTTTTAAAGTAAATTTTGCTTGGAATCCAACTATTCTGGCTACTTACCATGAAGTCTTTTAATTACAATACTTTATATTAATGTATATTATCTAAAATTTTTTTCCTAAATCAAATTTTGGTTGATCATGTCTTGTTTTCAGTATCTGTGTTCTATAATGTCTTCTATGCTTGTGGGTGGTGTTACTGGCTTATCATAAGGGCGATCATTTTTATAAACCTACTAATTCTTAGCAGTGTGTCTATAACATTTTACTGACTATATATGGAATGTACATTTATTTGCTTAGGAAAGTAATTCTAATACTTACAGGACTGTAACTCTGGACCAGGCAACAGATAGTGCAAAAGTAATTGGAAAGGCTATTCTCAACATGTTTCATACGATGAAGCTAAATATATCAGATATGAGAGGGGTGAGTATCACTTAAGCTTTCTTCCTGTAGCGTAAAGCCTGAACTTCAGCTGAGCTTGGGCATGGTGCAGTGCAAGCATGTGTGCAGGTCTTTAGCTTCTTATGTGCCGTCCAAGAAGGGAGACAGAACTTCCCATCAAGCCTGGTCATTTTAAGTTTGAGTATTATTCAAATCCTGTATTTTTTTTCTTCCCTCCTACCCTCTCCATCCCCAGCAATGGGCAAGCACCCTTATCTGAGCTACTGCCCCAGCTTTACAAAGTTATTACTGTAGGGAGAGATTGAACCTCATGCCCTGATTGTGCTAAGTAAGTGCATGTCTACCAGCTGTAGACAGATCCTATTTAAAACCCCAGCTGGGGCTGCCGAAATACCTCAGCAGATAAAGGCACTTTGTCCCCAAGCCCAGGTTGTTCTGTGCTCTCCACTTCACACTATACCAACCTCTCCCCTCGAATAAATAAAGCCTTAGCTACCAAAAAAACCCATGGAGTACTGAAATGCACTTGTGGGATCTTTCCGTGTGGCGTAGAATCAGATACTCTCAGGTAAGGGAAAGCTGCTAAGTCACTCACCCACCAGTCGTCTGTGGGGTGACTCACGAATAAGCTGTTTGCACAGTTTCATCTACTCCTTTATTCTAGAAACAGGATCTAGATGGCATTACTGATTAACTGAGAATTTTGCCTAGTTGGATTTTAACAAAATATTTCTCTTTTCTAGGTTGGTATTCAAGTGAATCAGTTGGTCCCTACTAATCCAAATTCTTCCACATGTTCAAGTCGCCCATCAGTTCAGTCAAGCCTCTTCCCTGGTCTATCACATTCTGTCCATGATCTCTTCCAAGTTCAGAAAGCTAAGAAATCCACAGAAGAGGAACATAAGGAAGGTGAGTAGCCATTAATGTGCAGCTGCTCATTTTTTTCCCCCAAACTTCTTTGGGAGTAAGTAGTCACATTTTAAATCAGCATAGGTCTCTGCCTTCTTTAGAATGTGATTTTACTTTAAATGTGAGAGGGGCTTGTTTTTACCTCAGATGAGCTAAAGAGCGTATTTAATTTTTATTTTTATTCCTAAAATTGCAGTATTTCTGGCTGCTGTGGATCTGGAAGTATCCTCTGCTTCTAGAGCTTGTACTTTGTTGTCACCCTTTTCTACACATCTGGCAGCCACTGTCAGTACTGACACTAACAGAGGCGAGTGTTCAAGGAAATGGAATGGCCTGCATTCTCCTGTCAGTGGACAGTCGAGACTTAATCTGAGTATAGAGGTTCCATCACCATCCCAGGTATGTTTAGAAAACAGTATTCTTTATTTTGTAGGTTGGCATACAGTCATCTTCGTGTGTTGCTATACTGTTCTGTCATTCCCCTCCCATTTCTGCAGGTGCCCTTGTCTGGTAGTGAGTCCTGCCTTGTGCTTTGTCACGGGTATCCTACTACCTTTTCTGCTTCTGTTCACATAGAGGAGACAGATACAAATACTGCCTCTGGGTCTAGTGAAAGGTGCAGCTCTCATGCTTGCATTAGATCCCCCTTGATAGTGAGAAGAAAGGAAGGACTGGCCAAAAGAGCAAGGGATTTTGCTATAAACACTTTTCCATCTTACTGCTTTAAGTATAACTACTTCTATTTGGGGAAAATCTCCTTGCTGAAAAGTCTGGGGTTTTTTTTGGTGGTGTGGGGGGGGGGGTCCCTTTCCATGGGTGAGTTCTCACCACAAGGTATTCTGTGAGTAGATGTGGATTTCCTTGCGTGTGCTACCAGCTTCTAAAGTACACTCAGTTTCAGGCTCTGTTTCACCTCAGGCTTCAGCAGCGGTGTCTGTGAAGATAGCCTAGGCAGGGGCTAGCTTTTTGAAGGCTGATGGTCTTCACTTTCTTTCTCAAATTTCATTTCATTTCTGCACATCAGGTTCTCATTTGGTATTTTACAGATTGATCAGTCTGTTTTAGAAGCACTACCACCTGATCTCCGGGAACAAATACAACAAGTTTATGCTGCTCAACAAGGAGAGCCACGTAGTACTAAGAAGAAAGAACCAGTAAATGGTTGCAGTTCAGGAGTGTTGCCACATCCTGTTGGCACAGTTCTGTTACAAATACCAGAGTCTCAAGAATCTAATAGTAACACCGGAATCAACGTCATAGCCCTTCCAGCATTTTCTCAAGTAAATTAATGTTAGATACCCTCTATCATAGTTTTCTCACCTATCTTTAGCTCAGTTTTTACTTTCTTCTCTTCTTTATCTGTGTGATTCCTGGGAAGCTTGCATTGTACGTACTACCAGGTATATACATCTTCAACACTGGTGGCCACTTGACCCTTTTCTAAAAAGTAGGCAAGTTAGCACCAGAGAGAAGAGAAGTTGGTGGTGTGGCATGGGTATGCAGTTGCCTAAAGTATCTGGAAGAAACAAACACATTCTTTCTCTCCTTTATTGACTGGCCCATGAAGATCAATAGATCACATGAATAGGGTAGAGATGCATAAAGGAGAGTAACACAGGCTGAGTTCTGATAAGTTAGCACATAAACTTTTCCTCATTTTCTACGCTCTTCTATTAAGAGTGATTTCTAAACAGTCTAGCTACCATCCAGAATTATCTTTCTTTCCAGGTGGACCCTGATGTCTTTGCTGCTCTTCCAGCTGAGCTTCAAAAAGAGCTGAAAGCAGCATATGATCAAATACAAAGGCAGGGAGAGGACACCGCTCATCAACAGACAGCAATTACACCTGGTAAGACAGCTGATGAGTCATAAGAAAGACTAGAGTGATGGTATCATCATGTAAGTTCTAACTTCATCCTAGAGACTCTCTGATGGACATATTTGGGATACAAGACAAGCTAGTTGTACTTTGAGACTAATTATTTGAAACAGTGTAGTTTGAAAACATGAAATCTCAACTTCCGGATGCGAATCCCTGAACATTTAAGCCTGAGTACTTGTTGAATTTTTCTCTTAGCCTTCAGGACCAATCCACTGCACATACCTGAGGTTAGGGTACTAATTTGTACAACTGGAAGGAATCGTAGGGCCTGGCTTTAAGTAGCTACATTCTGGCCTCTTGGTAGTAGGGTGTATTGGAAGGATGGAGAACCCCATGGTATTATCTAGATTCCTTATGAGGATCTCATACTTTTTCTTTTAGTGCCGAAGAATCCTTTACTTCAGCTAAAGCCACCATCAGGGAAAGACAAGCGAAACAAGAAGAAGAACCCCAGTGCTTCTCCCAGAAAGATTCAGAGTCCTTTGAAAAATAAGCTGCTTAGCAGTCCTGTAAAATCTCTGCCAGGGGCCTGTGGGAGCCCCCAGAAGTTAATGGATGGTTTTCTAAAACATGAAGGAATAGCTGCCGAGAAACCCCTGGTAACTGGAAAAACTAAAGACTAACTTTTATTAGATTGTAATGTAGTTGACACTGTCTCACGGCATTTTCTTTCTTTCAATAGGAAGAATTCTTAGTTTCCACCTCTGGTGTGCAGAACTCATCTAATTTGCAGCCCAACCAGACCAACTGTGTTAGACCTGCAGCACCCAACTTAGCTGGAGCTGTTGAGTTCGGTGATGTGAAGACCTTGCTCAAAGAATGGATAACTACTATCTCAGGTTGGTGTGGCCCATCTAGTAGCTGGTAGTATCCTGATTCAAGAACATGAACCAAAGTTGTAAGACTTGCTTTGAAATTGTGTGTGTGGTGAAGAGGGGGTTATAGTTAACTGCAGATTTCTAATTTTCTCTAAAAATACATTGAGGTCTTCCTCTTTCCTAGATCCAATGGAAGAAGATATCCTGCAAGTTGTGAAATACTGTACTGACCTTATAGAGGAAAAAGATTTGGAAAAATTAGATCTAGTTATAAAATACATGAAAAGGTAATTTGTTAAATAATTAAAAGCTAAAAAGCTGTTTGAGGATCTACAACAAGTTGATCTTGTAATTAACTATAGAAGGAAAAATGCTATATGTTGATAGCTTAGTAACTTAAAAATGTAGTAATCACTCCCAAGGTTATATTCAATGCACAAGTTGAACATGAGTGCCGTACCTAGCTCTCCTACCTCAGTCTTTGTTAGTGCTGAGATTATAGGAGTGAGCCACACTGGCTAGTCCAAAATTTAAAATACATTAAAAAGAAAGCCAAGCATAAAGCTAGGTTTGGAGGAAAAGAAAATGTGTATTGAAGTTTTTTCTTTTTAATGATAGTTGTCTTCTCCCCTCTAGGCTGATGCAGCAGTCGGTGGAGTCAGTTTGGAACATGGCGTTCGACTTTATTCTTGACAATGTTCAGGTGGTTTTACAACAGACTTACGGAAGCACACTGAAGGTTACCTAAATGTTCCAGAGAGCCTGGTGCTCTCTGCTAGCTGTACCAGCAGTGATGACGTGAGGTATTTGCAAAGTGCATGATAGTGATGCTCTGAGTTTTTTATAATTTTAAATTTCTTTTTAAGCAAGTGTTTTGTACATTTCTTTTCAGAAAGTGCCAAATTTGTCAGTATTGCATGTAAATAATTGTGTTAATTCTTTTACTTGTAGCATAGATTCTATTTACAAAACGTTTGTTTATAAAGTTTTATGGATTTTTACAGTGAAGTGTTTACAGTTGTTTAAATAAAGAACTGTATGTATATTTTGTACAGGCTTTTTTTTTTGTGAATCTCTAAAAAAAATTTCAACTCTGGGAACCAGCAACAATTTGTTATACTTAAAAGGCTGAAAAATCTCCAGGCCAGCTGGCTGCAGGCTCTGTGCAAAATAAAGTTTTTAATATCTGGACTTGTGTCCACAAGATTTATGTCCCTAGGAAGTGTTGAGAATATTCAATACCTAAAATAAATTTTCACATACATAACCTTCCTCTCTTCTCTCCCTCTTGTTATATTTGTATTTTATGACACTTTATAAATTCCATTGTAGTGAATACTTAACAGAAGGAAAGGATTTTGGTGGCTCATTTAGTACCCTCTCCCCCATGCCCATGCCCCAGGAATAACCACATCTAGGTATAGTCATGAGGTCTAACAATACTGAAGCACTGACCTCCAGTAACTACTGCCACTTCTTTTTAACAGAAGACAGTGGAATGTGTACTAAATAAAACAGACCAAAACTAACCTACAAAAGTGCCCCTCCTCGGGCATTTTAGTGGGTGCTGAGAGTGAAAGCTACACTAACATGGAAGCCTAGCTACTGTCTTTATTGGCAATTGGGAATTGTGATGATTACAGTGACTTCCGATGACCAGTACAGGCAGAAAAAAGCAGTCAGCTATCCTTTACTTCATGGCTGCAGACTGCCTAAATCTTTTTAGAAAAATCCCTACAGGCATATGGCAGAAAACCGCTGGAGAGAGGGGTGTCACTGTAGAGAGAATACCCATAGCTGTTTTTTTTTTTTTTTTTTTTTGGGTTTTTCGAGACAGGGTTTCTCTGTGGTTTTGGAGCCTGTCCTGGAACTAGCTCTTGTAGACCAGGCTGGTCTCGAACTCACAGAGATCCGCCTGCCTCTGCCTCCCGAGTGCTGGGATTAAAGGCGTGCGCCACCACCGCCCGGCTAATACCCATAAAGATATTTCTTACATCAAAAAGGTTCCAAGAATCACAAAATCTGTAGAAACTTGGTTAATCAAATACTGCAGGACTGATTTAATCAGTATAAAATTTGAAAGAGATTTAGATTTGTAATAAAAATCCAAATTTAAGGAAGGGCAAACTTTAAAACAGCAGCCAAGTCTTGAGGGAGGTGAGTGCAGGCACGCTGGACTGTGGGGTAGGGAACTGACCACTGTCAAACCAGTGTAAGTTGCTTGGTTTCTCATGGAAAACATCTTTATACACCTAAGTCCATCAGCGTCCAAGTGTCTGTTCTGTTGGTAATATCACAGCATAATATTACATTTACTCCAAATTCTGTCCCATGTGGGAAAATTAGATGATTTCAAATACTTTCTTCAGCTCCACAATAAGCTGCCAGTCACTCTTCTGCATTTCGTCTCTGAACCAGTCTTTGAGTGCATCGATGGACTGCCGGCTGATCTGCAATAGCCCAGGCACAAACATGGTGAGCCAAAGGTAAGTAAAGTATGCCAATGAAAGCCAGTGGTCCTAGATGTGGTTAAGCAAAGAGAGATGCAGTGTTTTCCAGTCTGCTTCAGGGGCCAAACCCACATCTGTGAGCTGAGAGGCTCTGGGGTCCATGAACTGTCAGTTGCACTACCCTCTTATCAGAAGTAACACTTGATGTTCCCCAAACCATAAAATTTCAGTGTGAAGATAAGGCTAAAATACTTACCTTGCTCACAAGAATGTCCGTAGCTTCGAAATGTCTCCCAAACATTTTGGGAGATTCCCCAGGGATGGGTTCTATTTTGACACAGACCTCTTGTCCTTTTTTTGCAACATCCACTTGCTTGTGGTTTATTTCAATACTTGTTACTATCCCAATGTCAACGAACTACAAAAACAGAAAGATCAGTGTCAGGTCAGATTGAAGATCTCCATAGGCCTCATGACAGCTAAACTCTACAGTCTCCACAGTAGAACTTAGCAAGACCTCATGAGATGACAAAAACATCTGGTGTCATTTTGTGGTCCTGCTATAAACTCATGGGCTGTAAAAGAAGGGAACAGCATACACCAACTCAGAAAGGTGGTTGTGCAGCTGGAAAATCTTTAAACAAAAAAAGGTATGGAAGGGTGGCTGCTTTGTGGACAAGGGATAGGGCGAGGGAGCATCTTAAGTGAAAAAGCGTTTGATTTACAGAGCCACATATCACTATCCCCAAATGAAGACTTCAAAGGCTGTGTATCAAGTAACACCACGACCAGTACCCATTGACCAGACTGGGCGCTAAGCATTAGCATAGTGAGTACTATGACATCCTTTCAAGGCCAGTGAGAACTCTGCAAAACCAAGGAGTGGAAGGAGAACACAAGTTTGTATCTATTTACATAATTCAAAGACTGTAATGGATACTATAACAATATTCACTGGGGCAAAAGTCACCAAGAAGTAATGTTTACAGGACCTGCATAGTGCAAGTGCCCCCTTGGAGGTTTCCTTTTCAGTAAGTCTAAATCCAAGTGAGTACAATCTACAACACATTTGAGCTGGACTCTTCACAAAGCAGGCGTACTCTGAACTGTGAATGGAGGAATGGAGCAAGCACAAGAGGATGAATGACGACTGCAAATAAGGCATTACAATAGACAAGCTACCTGGGAAAGACACTGAGAACCAGGTCTCAGAATCAACAGTTTCCTAAGATTGGATACTTTAATGGAAAATTTTGTTCCATTATTTTTTTTTCTATGTTAACATTGATATAGGCCTGGAACTTACATTTTTGCTTGGAACGCACATAGGTGTTCCTTGTTTCACTTGGCCAGCTTCCACAGTAACTCCTATTACTATTGGGTCTCGAGAATTGAAAATGTACTGAGGGAGGATTTTCATCTTGCAGGGAAATACTGCTATGTGCCTGAAAGTAAAAAGAAAGCAAAATATCTCAAGCTCAAAATTATTAAACAGAAAGCAAATATAATGAACGTGAAGTTTGTTATATGAATGCACTTTCTGCAGCCTATGTTCTCATTCTCTCAAAGCTACATCAAGGATGGAGCCTGGCCCCAGAGGATGAATGTTTTTGCCAGTCATATTCTGGAGTTTAGAACACGGGCAGACCTTGCTGACACGTTTGTTAATGTCTACTTTAGAAAGAGGTATAGTCATCCATCTGTATGATTTTCTCCATCATGTTCCCCAAGTTTTCCAAAAAGTTGCCATGAGGTAACTGTCCTTGTCAATCACATGCTGGAAGCACATTCAGCCAGTTTCAGTCCTGGGCTACTGTCCCTGGGTTACTCTGGTAATCTCTTTCCTAGACAATGGAAGCGCCCACACACACACAAGGTAACTGCCACTGACTCCCTAACCACCCAGATCCATGTAGCTAAAGTAGCCCTCAATGTGATCATGACTACACAATTTAGCAATAAAAAGTTCAATCTTTTCCATGACCTACGAGATTGCCCCTGTAACTTGCAAACCCTGTTCCTTCTCTAACTTGCTAATTGCCACATTCTCTGAAGTATACTTTGCCAGTATGGCTTGGTTGTCTTAAGTGTTGTTCTGCCTGCACAGACTACACTCTTGACTACTTGTTCTGCTTCTGACTGTTACTCCCAATAAGAGAACATGAGGAGATGCCGTCCCCAATCACAGCCCATTCTGTGAATCTGCTTTACAGCACTCATCTCTACTTGTACACTTCCAGATCGATTGCCTCTGTCAATTACAGATACCCTCAAAGGCCCAGGACTAGGAAGCCGAACTCTGGCCCCTGTATTCAAGAAGCATGGATACAATGAACCTGGAAGGTCTGTGGAGTCATGGCTTTGTCTCCCTTAGAATCTTTTGGATTATTTTCCATTTCACACAGAGGATACCTAAGCCCACCAAATTGAAAATTAATAAACTGAAAGGCCCAGAGAAGATCTGAAAACACAGAGGAATATTTGCCCCGGACTATAACACACCACTTTGGGATGCAGCATCTGAGACATTAATAAATGCTATTCTTTTCTTGTCTGCATTTCTTGTCAGTATTTGGAACTTCTCCACCAGCTGCATTTAAAAAAGATTCGAAGTAAACAAAAACACTAACTTACTTGAATTCTTCCTGTTTCTGTTTCTTGTAGTCTTGTCTGTATTTTGTAAAGGCATCAAATAAATGATAAATAATTTCTGCACTAAAGATTCTAACTCCCAAACTATCCGCCATCTCTTGTGCATCCCGTTCAATTCTTACATCAAAGGCCAAAATCACTGCATACCTGAAACATGGAAACATTAAAGATCACTGAATGAGAATTAGTGAGTCACACCAAACACTCTGAAGATGATCAGAAGCAAAGAATACTTACTGCGGATCATGTTCCAACATGACCGAAGCCTTCATAACGTCTTTTTTATGGACTGGGCCAATGTTAATTCCTGCATACTGTAAAAGGAGAGTTTTCAGGTTTATCTGCATGTAGCAGGTAATGGAACAACACGTCATAAATATCATATGCTTAGAAAGCTGGGCAGTTACTTACTGGCACCTCTGATGTTTTCAGAAATTCAAGAAGAGCTTCCAAAGAGCCCAGTGTAGACGCCTGGACATAAACTCCTTTTTCTTCTAATTTGATAGCATTTAGTGTCTGCTTTAACTCATGGATCAATTCATCCTTGAAAAGAAATCAAACATGACAAATTATATCTCAATCTTCAGCAGCCTAGAATTGAACTGTTTCCCACTGGTTAAAGACATCTGAAAACATGGAATTAAGGCACGACAGTCTGTTATAGGAAAAAAAAAAAGCAAATGACTGGGTAGAGTGTCATCCTTTTTGTGGACCACACAGATGAGAGGCAGCCCCAAAGTTCAATTGTTTCAACTGTGAAATCTCCTAACTCATTACTTCACTAATTATCTTATGCTGTGACCTGATTCTGCCTAAATATTAAAGGAGGCCTTCATGACTGTGTCCCTAGCAGCTATATGCTATATTCTTTTTGGCAAGCAATTAAGCTATGACTACAGCCTGCTTTTCATTGGCTATGGGCCAAGTGATCTTTCCAAAGACAAAC